GGGTTCATAAAGCTCAAAGTCTATTTAACATGCAAGACACCTGAAACATGGCACCAGAGAATCTAACTATTTTTGAAAACAGGAGGTTGGTAATACACACACACACACACACACACACACACACACACACACACACACACACACATTTAGAACTGGCACCTGAAAGCATAAAACTGGGAGTGTATCAAGTAATCAGGGTGTAGAGACATTCTCCATCCTGAGGCATGGATGTCAATCACTAAGGACTAAATGGAGGTTGAAAATTAAGTGCTATAAATATAAGAACAGGATGCACCAAAGATGTGAAAGTGGGCTGTCCAGTCAGGGGGAGAGAAAGTAGCTAAATGGAATCAGCATGGGGTAGAGGCATGCTGGGAAGCAGTGATGTGCTGGGCTTTCCTTTCCTCTCTCTTTGGGTCTCTTCTGCTCTCATTCTCTTCTCACTCCCACAGAAGAGAACATAGACAGAGGCCACAGGAGAAGCAGGAAGGGCATTCCTTCTCAACTCCAATCCCTTCTCACTGACACAGCAACAAAAAGAGATCAGGAAAACAGAAGCAAGTCATAAAAAGGACTTGAGGAAGAGTTAAGATTTAGTGTATGGTGGTGGTTTTTTTTTTTTTTCCTGCTTGATTTTTGTATTTCTTTCCCTGGTAAATGAACAAAAAGCAAACAGCTTTTAGAGGAGAGGTAGGATAACAAATCTGAAAGGACAAACAGGAGATACCCTAAACTATGGAAAATATACACTGAAGTCATCTCTCAAAATAAATGGTGCTTATTCTTTTTTTCTTTCTTTTTTTTTTTTTGGGTGGGGGGAAAGGGTTTCTCTGTGTAGCTTTTGGAGCCTGTCCTGGAACTCACTTTGTAGATCAGGCTGGCCTTGAACTCACAGAGACTCGCCTGCCTCTGCCTCCCAAGTGCTGGGATTAAAGGCGTACACCACCACCGCCCAGCAGTGGTGCTTATTCTTAATAAATTTCTAGACCTATAATTTGGAAGTTGAAGGAAAATTTGGCTTTCTTCTCTATAAGCAAAACCACTATTCTTTTTGCTTCTCTATGCCCCTATCTGTTGAGTGCCTGTCTTGCCATGATACCTATCTCTCTAAAACCAGATAATGTAAGAAGAAAATTTAGTTTTTAAGAACTCCTTGCTGGGCGGTGGTGGTGCATACCTTTATTTCCAGTACTTGGGAGGCAGAGGCAAGCAGATCTCTGTAAGTTCAAGGCCAGCCTACTCTACAAAGTGAGTTCCAGGACAGGCTCCAAAAACTACACAGAGAAACCCTATCCCAAAAAAATCATTCATTACTGTGAAAATGTGTTGCTCTCATTGTTAATAAAAAACTTATTGGCCAATAGCTAGGCAGGATTTTTGGGCAGAGAGAACACTGGAAAAAATTTGGGCAGAGTCTGAGGAGTCTCAAGCCAAATGAAGAACCAACATGGGAATTTCATAGATGGGGTAAATGAGCCCTGGGGTAACACACAGATTAACAGAAATGGGTTAATTTAAGTTGTTAGGCTGGAGATAAGCCTAAGCTATTGGCTGAGCATTTATAATTAATAATAAGTCTCTGAGTGGTTATTTGGGAGCAGCTGCCTACACATGCCTACAAAAAACTCCACCTACAAATGGCACCCACCATTGGGCAATGTAGATTCACATAAAACCTGAAAAGCTTTAAAAAGGTTCTAAACACACAAAAACAGAGCCAAACCTGACTTCCTAGTCTCATGTTTCTCATGCCAGCTATAGTACAGAGATGCATCTCCTGGCAGCTGCCTCTGGGAGGAGTCAGCTGCCAGCTGCCAGGCACTAAGCTAAGCTGCACCAATGGCTGCTAACATAGCAGTTTAGGATTCACCTTAGGCAATCAAAGAACAATTCAGATGCTCAGTAAACGTATCAAGATGGAAAAAAATCTCTAAATGGGTTACAATGTGTTTAAAATATACATAAGCCTGGGATAGAGAAGAGAAAGTATATACAGTCACAGATTAAAAAATAGTTTAAAAACAATAAAGTCCTTAAAAAGGAGTGAAGTAAAATAAAAATAAAAAATATATAATAAGCCACATAAAGACGGGAAATAAACAGAGAATCTGGATTCTGTATATTATTGTGTTGCCTTTAGACTTTCTGATTGCTAATAAAGACACAACACATTGGATTATGAAAACTGATAGATTAAACAACCATATTATAAAATGTCTTGACTTCAAAATGGAAGTCAGAAGATATGTTACTTTGGGGAAGAGGTTATGCGTTCATTTCCACAAGAAATGATAAGCTGTGGATTCATTCTAGGTTGATATGGATCAGGTTTGGTCAATGAAGACCCCCTGAAAATCCTGGCTACATAAAGAAATAAACCTAAAAGAACCACAGAACACTTAACGCATATTTTACCTACTCAAACATAAAACAAAAAATCCTCTTTGACTAACTTGTGTACAATGCACAGTCTATACTTGTATTAATATAGATACATACGCTACTTTTAAAAGTTTATGTATTTTCAGAATAAGGGGACCAGACATCAATGAAAACAAATGGCCCAGGTGATCCAGTATCTCAAAATACCTCTGTTGCAGTCTCCTCAGAGTTCTGCATCCAGAACAGCTTTAAGGCTGCTGGCTGAGATGGTCCAGCCTCACAGACTACTACAGCCCAGACTTAACTATTATTCTGAATTTTCTCAGGGGCCTCCAAGGATGTTAGTACCCCCAGAAAACAGGAAGTAGTTTAGAGAAAACAACACCTATATTCCCAAAAGATGGGTTATGAATGTTGTTATCATTAAATTAAGATTAAAGAGGGTTGGTTACAAGTTGTTAATTTGTCACAGTCAGAAAAAAAAAGCTAAACAAAAGAGTTAAATTCAAAGATCCCTTTCTAAAGGAAAAAAGGGGGATATGATATAGGAATGATAGGAAAAAAGGGTAGATTATTGAATCTACTTTAATCCAAAAACAACTATTAATCTCAAAATATTTTACAGCCAGATGTCTATGTCATTAGGTATCATTACACCCTTCTGGGTCTTTGATGTAATTAAAGACTAAATAGTTAAACTTATAGTTTTCCTTAGTCTTGTTAAAAGCTAAATTAGGCATAAAACTTTAGACTTACAAAGATTACAGTATTTTCTCCAATTCTGCCAAATACAAATGGGATACATATTGTAACTATGATTCTTGCCTGATAACTGTTTTTGTTATATGTTTACTATATAAAGGTTAAAACCTTCCTTTTTAATTAGACAAAAAGGGGGAAATGCTGTGGAATAATCCTTCTGTACACTGTGAAAATGTGTTGTTCTCATTATTAATAAAAAGTTGGTTGGCTGATAGCTAGGCAGGATTTTTCGGGCAGAGAGAACACTGGGAAGAAGGGCAGATCCTGGAGTTGCAAGCCAGACACAAAAGAAGCAACACTGAATTTCATAGATGAGGTAAATGAGCCTTGGGGCAGTGTACAGATTAACAGAAATGAGTTAATTTAAGTTGAAAGAGCTGGCTGGAGACAAGCCTAAGCAATTGGCTGAGCATTTATAATTAATAAATTTTTGTGTGGTTATTTGAGGAGTAGCTGCTGGGACACAGAAAAACACCACCTACAGGCAGATCTTTGAGTTCTGAGTTTGAGGCCAACCTGGTCTACAGAGTGAGTTCCAGGCTGGCCAGGGCTATGCAGAGAAGCCCTGTCTTGAAAAACCAAACAAAAGCAAAACAACAACAAAAAAAATCAACAAACAAAAAACTTCCTGAGTGGCATTTAACTTCAGTAGGCACTGTAATAATTACAGAGAGTTTTAAATTTTATCCACCCACAAATATTTTATTAGCGTTCTACATGGTAATAACGTATGTGGACTCTACAATCAACAAGAGAAAAATAGCAGTGGGAAGGTGGAGAGCAATGAGGATTTTTTGACTGTCTTTATTCCACTGTCTTTGACTACGGACATTAAGTCTACGAGCTCTTTCTAGGATAGTAGAAAATGAATTTGGGAATGCACACATAAAGAAAGAAACAAACAAAAAATACACTTTAAATAAGCCTACAGTCCATCCATGTCCACTGAAGAAAAGAAACAAGAAGTGGGAAACAAGGCAAAGACAAAGGGGTTTACGGAGTTAGATAATCAAAGAGGAACAGAAATGGCAACAAGAGAAAGACAAACATCAGCAAAGACACAGTGAGAAGAAAAGAGACTGAGGGCAAGGATGGAAGAACAAAAGTGAGTGAGACTACAGTTCACGAGTATTGATACTGGTACAGGCCCAGTATGTCTGACTAGGAAGTCATATCTTTTGGAATTGTTCGGAGCTAATACAGACCTGGGACTTTTGTTTATTTGAAATAGGAACCAGTGATATACAACCTAGGGTGGCCTTGAACTTGCAATCCTCTGCTTCAGCCTCCTGTGTGCTGGAATGACAGGTATGTATCACTATGCCCATTCTGGCATACATTTTAAATCCTTCTATTTAAGCACAGTGAAATGTGAAGAGTCTGAATTCTGTATGTTATTGTGTTGTCTGAACTGCAATGTCCATAAGTATAAAATGCATACCAGATTTGGATGACTCTGAGCAAAAAAGACAGTGAAATTTTTTTTTTTTTTTGGTTTTTCGAGACAGGGTTTCTCTGTGTAGCTTTGCGCCTTTTCCTGGAACTCACTTGGTAGCCCAGGCTGGCCTCGAACTCACAGAGATCCGCCTGGCTCTGCCTCCCGAGTGCTGGGATTAAAGGCGTGCGCCACCACCGCCCGGCGTGAAATATTTTTATATACTTCAATTAAATGGACTATTATTTTAAAATTAATTCCACTTTTAAAGCTGTATAGCTAGTAGGAAATTTTTATTTATACATATGGCTTATGTTATACTTCTAGAATGCAGTTGTTAGATATTAGTCTCCTCATTAACATCAAGACTGATAAAATAAATTTGCTAATGTCTGAATTCCCCAAACTTCTAAAAACATACCAATATGCTGGACTTTTTCATCAATAACCTCACAGTGGTATGGCCACCGTGTCGGGCTCAATGGACCAGAAGAAGAGACACCATATAAATCCCTTGGTTCACGAAGGCGTGGTACCCATCTTCCTAGCCGATACTCCAATAAAATCTGTGTAGTTCGAGGGAAGAATGGGTCACCAATAGCATCAGCTGAAAAAAGATTGAAACACAATCATGAGTGACTACAAGGAAATCCCTAATTCCTACGTGTTTCACATAGTTCTTCTTTTCCTTTTAATCTACTAAATTTATACATATTTATAGATATATTAACTATTTAATAATTCACGACATTCTAAATACCTAAATGAAATTTTGTGATAACTGATTTTCATAATAGCTAAAAATGTTTGTTAACGTATATAGTATCATTTTATAATGATTTCTTACCAATACTTTAAAAATGTCTGTTTCTTGTAGCTTCCCTAGCAGAACATCTAAATTTGACTTTTAAATGTGTGTGTGAGAGCCTATGGAGTCCAGAGGACCTTTGTTTTGGTTTCATCCTCAAGAACACTGTCCACCTACACTGAGACAGGGTCTCTCACTGGCCCAGAACCCACCAATTAGGCTGGACTGGCTTTCCAGTGAGCCTACAGATCTTTCTGTCTCATAGACCTCTCCTTTGCTGGGATTACAAGAGCAAACCACTATGCCAGACATCATTATGGTTCGAACTCTGGTCCTCATATTTGTGAGGCAAGTACTTTACCGAATGATCTATTTCTCCAAGCCCTATATTTGACTTCTTAACCATACTAATTGTCCAGTGAGTTAAATACAGTCATTGACTATAAATAACTTCACCACTTATTGGAACTGTATTCCTAAAGGTTGCTAGTGTTCTCTTAGTCATAAGCTTTTCACTGTGTGACCCAACCTCAGGAGTGTGGTTCATACAGTTATCATGGGCCTACACTCTCAGCAGTCAGTGCAGTGGCCCTTTCTTTCTCAGTGTGTGACTGTATGGCATCAGTTTGATGTGAAATTCTAAGTTTATTTTCCTTCTTTTATATAACTACCGAACCTGTGAACTAACCTGGACATGCCACTAGGATCCACCTAAGTTCTCTGCTCCACTTTAAACAATCAAATCTTTGCTTTGCTTATGAAGTCACTCTTTAAGTCTGTCTGTAGCTTAGATAGTGTTTCTAAACCCTTTCTGGTTTTAAGCACCCAATTTGTGGACTGTTGTTGCTCAAATCATCTCCTTAAATATGTCAAAATTACATTTTAATAGGCTTTACCCAGATGAGACCACCTTAAACATATGACTGTGACTTTATTTAATATGTATCACAGATAAATATTAAATTATTTACCTTTAGATAAATTTAAATATATTTAATTTTAGAATTACTTTGATATGGCTATAAGAATTCATCTGTGGCTCTTTACTAATTATATCTTCACTTGTAGAAGCTTTCCTTATAGTGCATAGTACAATATATACCTTGAGCACAATGTGATGTGATTTAATTAATAATTTTCCTATTGTTGGATATTCAGATTGTTTCTAACTTTTGACTCAATTAGAAAGAGAGTCAGAAGAAATACTTGTCCTAACATATACCAAAATATCACATTTAAAGCTATAATTTACAACATTAACAGTGACTCATGAGTCCAGGGATGGAAAGATGGGATTTAGTACATGATAAAGTTAACATGTCTAACATGTGGTAAAGGTGTCATTTCAAATCAATGATAAAAATTGACAAATTTCAATAAAAATTACCACAGAATACAAAATGACACTCTAGCTATTTATATATTAGAAAATAAAGCCTACTCATGTGAGAAACTAAATATCAAAATTCAGATTAACATAGACAAGTACTTAGGATTTTTTTGATGAGTATACTCATGACCCTGGAGTAGAGTATTTTGTAATTTGAATAAGATAAAAATAAAGAGCTATAGATGAATACTGATAAACACAACCACACCAAAATAATTATAAATGATGGAAGCAACATAAGCAAAAATCAAAGAATTACTACGAATGGGCAATTCATAAAAAGGAATATAGACAATTCTCAATTTCTCTGACAATATACCAGTTAAAACAAGGAGTTACATCCTGTTTTCCATTAGACGGCAAAGCTAAAAAAACAAAAACAAAAACAAAATAAACAAAAAAACAAATGGGTAGCAGAGAAGCATCCACAGAACAGTGCTATACAATTTCTATTACTATAGTATATGTATATAGATACACATATACACAAACACTTTATATATGCACATATAATACACATGTATGTATATACACATATATACACTTGTAAAGAGAAAAATCTAGAAAAATACATACTATGCTGGTTGGTGTTTGTCAACTCAACACAAACCTAGACATTTGGGAAGATGGAATCCTGAGAAAATGCCTCCACGACACTGGTAAGTAGGCAAGTCTGTGGAGTATTTTCTTGATTAAGGATTGATGGAAGAGGGCCCAGCTCACTGGTGGAGTTGCCATCACTGGGCAAGTGGTCCTGGATGGTATAAGAAAGCAAGCTCAGCAAGCCAGGAAGCAACATTCCTCCATGGCTTCTGCTTTGGTTACTGCCTCTAGCTCAGTTCCTGGAGTTCCTCCCTGACTTCCCTTAGTAATGGAGTGTGACCTGAGAGTAACAGATGAAATAAACCCTCTCCTTCCCAAGCTGCCTTTAGTCATGGTATTGTCACAGCAACAGAAACCCTAGCAATGACACACACCAACTTAAGAAGAGTAAGTAAATCTTAAAAGTGAAGCTTTGTTTTAGAATGGTGGTAAAAGACAAGTGAAAAGGCTTTAACATCAGTATTGGACTGTGTTAGATATGTAAATATTTACCGGAAATATTTTACAATTTGTCAGTACAACTACAAACGTTTACATTTTAAAAAATTCAGAATAAATCAAGATGCCCACACACACATATATAAATACTTGCAAATGAATAACCTTATTTTTAAAACTACTTATCCAACTATATATTACTGAAATAAATATGTATTTCTAATACTTTGTGTTTGTTATAGCTTATGCTGCTGTGGGATGGTCTGCATGTCAAATGTGTTGCTCTGATTGGTCAATAAACAAATCACTGATTGGCCAGTGGCTAGGCAGGAAGTATAGGCGGGACAAGGAGGAGAATAAAGCTGGGAAGTGGAAGGCTGAGTCAGAGAGACACTGCCAGCCACCAAGATGAGAAACAGCATGTGAAGATGCCGGTAAGCCACAAGCCATGTGGCAAAGTATAAATTTATAGAAATGGATTAATTTAAGCTGTAAGAACAGTTAGCAAGAAGCCTGCCACGGCCATACAGTTTGTAACCAATATAAGTCTCTGTGTTTACTTGGTTGGGTCTGAGCGGCTGTGGGACTGGCAGGTGAGAGACATTTGCCCTGTGGGCCAGGCAGGAAAACTCAAGCTTCATTATGCCTTTAAAGAACAGTTCTATTTTTTTAATAAAATGAAAAGGTAACTCCTTATGTTTAACAGTCCTTCACAAATAATCATTGCTTTCATTTAATTTCATTCATTACTTTCTAATATTAACCAGGGTTACTTAAAACCATCCTGAAAAGTTTAAACTCCAAAGTGGATATATTTCTTCCTCCCTACCCACCAAAATAAGCACTGTTTTACTAAATCTGGATTTTTTTCAGTTTCCTTCTACTACTTTTTATCTACTCAAGGTTTCATGATAAAGGGAGTTTGAAAAGACAAATAAGATGAGTTCAAACCTGCTAGTATTGTACACTGATGAATATCATCACTTACAAATTTCATGAATGTATCCACATCCTGAAACAAAAGAAGTTTAAAATTGAAGAACCAATAATATCAAAATCCAGAGTTTTGTTTAACATCTACTTGAGTACTTGGGAGTGTCTTTAATAAATGGAAGACTTCAACAATTATTTGGGTAACTGGCCCCAAAGCAGTAGTTCCAATCCACTGGAACCTTAAAATTTGCATCTTTATTTCTCTTCTTCCACAGGGTATGGCCATGATAATGACTGCAGAGAAGGAATAAAGTTTAAAGATCCTGGGAACCCTTGGGAAAACAACTGGAGAATGAGAACACAAAAACACAGAAAATTATGGAGAACTATATATCATTTGAATGACTTTGGGACTTTAAATATATTATAATTATTCTTTTAAAAGGAACTCTCTTAGAACAGGCTGTAGGACCAGACACAGGTTTTCAAACACTACACCCATTCTCTTCCTTTCTCCACTCTCCACACCCTTCCCCTCTGCTGTTAGAGAGGCATATTCACACACTGTGCAGAAACACAAGACCACCGGCAGGAACACCAGTGGTTCTAGGATGGTGCATATTATGCTGTAACATAATTAGCACTTAAGGGAGTTAAGTAGATATGGGTTGTAAAAATAAAATCCCTAATGATTACATATATAAATTTAATAAAATCCAGAATAATCTTACCCAAGTATTTTCTCAAGAAAAATCCTTTTTTCCTATTTTAAAAAAAAAGTTTCTTAATTGAAATAGAATTAGATCTAAAATTTTAGCCCCCTTCGTCCCTCCCAACCCTTCCCATTCCCCCTCCACACTTTCAAGTTAACAGCTGCTTCAAGAAAAATCAATTCTTTTTATTTCTTTCTAGCTAGGGTATATTACAAAATAAGTTTTTCAGTCAAGTTATTTTCTAACTTCCACGACAATGATTTCATCCTCCATTTTATTTTTACATCACATTATTTCTACAATGTTTTAATTGGGAATATATGATTTACAATACATTTTATCTCAAATTATGTAAAGTAAAAGAGAAAGACATACCGATTCATCGTCATCACTGATACTTCTGTCTGAATAGTCTTCCTCCTCTGAATCTTCTGACATGTCTTCCAATGTCTGCCTTGAACTTTCTTTTCTTATGTGGGGAGGCTGACAAAGTCCTAAGGAAATTATTTGACAGCTTTTCTTTTAAGTCAAGGTGTGTATGTCCTACATTAAATGAATACTCCAAAACATATATAATTGTATTTAATTAACAGTGACAGATCTCTAAAAACTAAACTAATGATGATACAGGAAATTAATTACAATTTCAAAGATTTGAGGAAACTATCCACTACTACAGTAAAGACAAACCCCCTAAATGGTTATCCAATACCAAATGGTCAGTTCTATAAATATATACATACAAGCAATATTCAATAGACTTCTGCAGGTTGCATTTATATATTTATTTGCACACACACGTAACGATAATAATGAAAAAGAGGCTATGAATCTGAGAGTGTTGGAAGAGGGTAAATGATGTAATTATATTTTAATTAAATAAAAAATTAAAATGAAGACACAAAGATGAGTGCACAGGGAATGGGGAGGTGAATCTGGGAGGAGATGGAGGGGACAACTAAATTTATAACCTGTCAATATGTTTAATGAACAAAAATAGAACTGAAAAAAGTCTGTTAAAAAAAGATAAATCATGTAAATAATTTAGTTGAAAAACTTTCACAGCGCATAGCCAAACCATTTACATTTTATATCTGTAATTAAACACTACACAGCAATAGTAACTTCAGGATTATCCCCAGGCATTAAAAATTAGGCAGCAAGAAAAAGTATAATTATTCAGGCAATAAAATGTTGCAATACTTTAAAAACTTTTCTCTTCCTCCTTAACTTTCAATTGCCCCAAAAGTTTCAGTGTCTACAACCTGAGTTTCTCTTTAATTTTGATCATTACTGTATAGTTAGTTACATCATTAGCACTGATGTACCCGAAGGTTCTGTTGGAGATGACCACGGCTGCTTTCAAGGCAAGCCTGCTACCAAGCAACGAAATCATCAAAACTCCTTGCCAAGATTGTACGCTTTGGAGGATACCAAAGGAATTTACCAATTTAACAACTACTGGTTTATGTTACCTATAAGAACAAGAGTTTAGGAGCGTGGGCTGCACGCAAGGGACAAGACTTCACAGCCCTTGGTTTACAGCAGAGCGTGTCTGGGGGGCGCTGACCGCACAGAAGGCCTCGCAAGCTTCATCATAAGCAACATCTGCAACCGGGACAGCTGTTCCTAGACGACATCTCAGAGTGGACGCTGACGCTCTAGCCCCGGGGTGGAAGGAGCTGCAGCCCCGGATGACAGCTCGAAATAGAGACAACCGGCCAGGCACCCGGCCGCCGCCGCCCTCTCCTTACGTGCACGGGTGAGGCGGGCTAGCGCGGGGGGCTGGAAGCTCGCGGCCGCCGGGCCACGCCTGAGGAGGACGCGAACGAGGAGCCGCGCGGCCGCGCCAAGCCTTCTCCGCGGGCAGGAGCTGGGGGCCCGCGCCGAGCCTCCTCCACGCCTACTGGGGCCCCGCGCCGCCCCGCGCTGAGGGGCGCATTTCCCGCGCTCCCCTGCCGCCCGCCTCGCTCCCTCGGCCTCTTCAAGCCAGCCAGGACGTTCCACCCTTGCCGGGAGAGTACTTCAGGACGTCCCCCAGACTCCCGGAGACCACAGGGCCAGAGGAAACACCATCGTAATTCAGCGGCCGCAGCCACGCCCTCCATGGAGAGCGGGCCGCTTGTTGCCGGGGCGACGGCTGTACTCTCGCGAGACTTCGGGCAGCTCTAGGGATTCACTTTGCGGCGACTGCTACGAAGGGAGTGAGGTCTTTGGCGGGAGAGGGACGCTAGGGCGATGATGGGAACTCTGGAGGTTTGGAGAGGTTTGGAGTGTTGCAGGCTGGAGAGAGGGAAGGCGGGACAGCCATTTGTTCTGAGTGACAGCAGACTTGTTTGCTAGGTCCCTGCGCAGAGAAGGCAGTAGAACGTACTGTTTAAGGCTTGCGTCTTGAGGCTCAACTTGACTTCTAACAGCCTGACCATGGGCAAGTTAATTTTCTGGACTAAACTTTCTTCATCCAGAAAAAGAAGGCAGTAATTGTACTTGGAGTTAAAAGTTTGACTTCCATTCTGCATAATTGTAATCCGTCCTTAGCCTGGAAATGAAACTTAAATGCTTGGTTTGGAGGGGTCATGGTTATATGAGGGCAGACTCTCAGAAAGTCTCATTAAATTAGAAATTCTTTGTTAGCCAGCATTTTACAAGCAAAAAATCTTTTTTTAAAAACCTTATTTAAGTCAATGAGCTACCCTATAACAGACTTAAGAGTTTTTTTTTTTTTGTACATCTCATCCTGATTTATTAGTCATCTTTAACTTTGGTGGGTAATAGAGTTGGAACAATTTTCCAAGTAAAGTTAAAAACCCATAAAGACAAAGAACAAATAGGTGTTTGGTGCCCTCATGGGCCACATTATATGCTCTCAGACTTGTGATATTGTAGAAACAGGGGTAATAGGCTTGAAAAGTGAAATAAAGACGAAGCACTTTTATTTAAGCATGGAAATGGGTTAGCATCTCGAGATTTGGTAAGTTTCTGAAAATGTGTTTGGGTCAGCAATACAAAAGCTTGGGACTTGGTGTTTTTTTGGACATTGATCTGAGGAAATAAAGTGTACCTTAGATCATGATCATTTGAAAATTAGTTTTCATAGTTTGGTGAGCTCGGTTTTATGCCATATGTACATCACTAAAGGTGACCTGCTCAGAAAATCTTTGCTGTGGTTTGAGGGTATCCTCAAAGGTCCAGGTGCTGAAATTTACTTGCCATTGTGAAATTATAAGGACAGAACTTAACCCTACTTGTGTTTATATGTGGGGCCATTCAAAGGCCATCAAGGTGGCCTCCTCATAATTAATACTTAGTGGCTTTTATAAGAGAGACCAGAGGAGACACGCTCCCTGTTTCTGAACTCTGCCAGCAAGACCATCACCAAATGTGTTCCCTTGACCTGCATCTCTAGAACCATAGCCAAACTAGATAGGAGTTAAATTATATCTCTCTCTACATATATATGCCCATATGTGCACATTAGCATATGTCAACGAATCTTTATAGAGAAGAATGATGTTAGTGCATCAGAGAATGACTTAGAAACTCAGCCAAACTTTGAAAATCACATTCATTCACTATGCACCCGACCTTTACTGGTTAGTTCACATCACAGACTATTGGCAGTACAAGGCTGTTGCAGGGAGCAGAACAGTTTTTCATGGAATTACGTTCTAATGGGAAAAAAGCAGAGAAAACAATAGAACCATGCAGATGAAAATCGCTATGAAGAGGAGTAAAGAGCATAGCAAGTGCTGGAGGTGAGTGGCACGGCAGTGTAGTTCTTTCAGATGAGGTGGCTAGGGAAGTCCTCTGCCCAGGCGGTGTTTGAACAGGAGAATAAGCCATGGGGATGACCAGAGAAGACCTTGTTGAGGGGGAAAAGGCAGCAAGTCCAGAGGCTGTGAAAGAAGTGCTGGCTGGAACTAGTGTCATTTGAAAGATAAGTCAGATGGATTTTCCTCTCCTCTAGTTAAATTTAAAATAGCTTTTGAAGTGTCTGCCTTAAAGGTTTAAAAAATGAGTTTTAAGAATTATTTGTATTGCATTTGTGGGGGGGCATGCATGGTACAGTGCATGTGTGGAGGTCAGGGGACAACTGGAAGGAGTCTGTTCTCTCCTTCTTCCATGTGGGCCCTGGGATCGAACTCAGGTTGTCTGGTGTGATGGTAAGTGCCTTTTCCCACTGAACCGTCTCCTGGTTTTACATTTTTAATTTAACGTTTTTTTTTTTAAATTTGTTTTCAGACAGTAGCACATACTAGGAATTAGATTCTTTGCTCTTAAGTTAAAATGAAAATGAGGTCTGGAATAATCTCATAAAGACTTACTGAGTTTTGTTCCCTTCTCTGTGTGTGATCTCACCACCGAAAGCTACTGGACAGACTCATATAGCCAGTATGTACCTTTTCCGGAAGCACATGCAGCCTGAAGTAACTTCCCTATTCTACTTTCCTATACCAGTAGGACTCACAGTATTCAAAACAAAAAACAAAGAATAAGAAAAAAGGAAAAGAAAACTAAAGCTGTATTACTGCGAAGGCATAATCTCCGAATGGGCATCAGGAGGAAAATTCATTTTGGTGAAATGGCAAAAATGTAAGTTATGTTAGGAATATAACTTATTTTGAATAATTTATCATTTAGAATTTACTAAACAGATCTAGATAAGAAAACAAAGTGACCAGAGCAGTCATTCTTTGTGACATCATAGAAGTTAGGTATCATGGGGACTTAGAGGTCTTTTCACACAGTTTAGTTGATGAAGCCATTCTGGGAACGGGGCACCAGAGGCTGGCCAGAATGCAGCCAGAGGTGCAGAGACTGCCCCTTCCTTGCACTGTCTGGCTTTAGGATGACCCACTCAATGACCAAACCTCTCAAAGTGTTCCCAAACCCAGATCTTGAGATCTGTCCCACTCAGCAGCTAACCAAGACTCAACTTAAGGGTCATTCCATAAACTTGCCTTCATTATGTTCTCTTTTCCCTTCAAGAGTCTTGCCTCTTGTTGGTTTGGGATTAAGACATCCCGGGGCCAAAAGGACAAAGGTCTCTTTACCTGGTCAAGTCACAGCGTACATGGTTGGTCTCACATGCTTGTCTGTGGACTTCCTGAGGAGAGCAACTTCTTCAGGCCTCCTGTCCCCATCTGCACACACAATGAGGTCTCCTCAAGGGCACAGTTATTATCTGGCAGTAATCTCATGTGCCAGATTGGGGAGTGTAGTAATTCAGAGTGTGGGTTTAGGAATCTATTACTAGTGGTCAAGTATTCTGTGACTTAACAGCTCACTGACTGTTGGCAAGTATTAAAAGTTCTTTATGTTTCAATTAATTTACTTGTAAAATGGAGATAATAGACTAGTACCTCTCTTGTAGGCTTAAAAGGGTGAAGCGCACGTCAAGTTCTAAGCAATTACCTCTATTTCACTCATGTAACATGAGGGACAAGTTCCAGCTGTTACTCTCTTCTAGCATAACACAGTGGTTTTCCAGGTATCCTGACATGGAGCCAGTAGCATTAATATTATTTGCTATTTTTTTAAGATGTAAATTCTCAGGCTCCACCCCAGACTTATAGAATCAGAAACTGGAGTAGAATAGTCTGTTTCCACAAGTCTAGCAGGTGACCTGGTTGTAACCTCCATTTTGAGAACCATTGGCACAGCAGGGTAGGTGTCGACTCTGAAACTATGGTACCTAGTTGGGTGGCCTAAAATAAATTCTTTAACCTTTCTATGCCACAGTTTCCTTGTAAACAGGAATATAATGTCACCTACCTAATAGTGTTATGAGCATTAAGTGTTGGTCCTAGTCAGTGCTCTCATTTGTCGTCACTGACAACGTTTAAGCACATTCTCACACAGACCTAAGTGGGTGGGGAAAAGAGGAGGAGGGGGAGGAAGAACTGGCTTCTCAAAGCAACATCTGCAAAACAGCAGAGTCACCATAGCATCAGAATCGTTGGAAATGCACTCTCAGGGACCTGTCCAGACCTATTAAATGACGTGCATATTTTATAAAATATAGTGAGTGTTCCTTAAAACAACATGCCGCAGCAAAAATTCTGCTATTAAATCTGAAGTGGAGTGAAGCAGGGGGTCAGTATTATCTGTGGAGCTGAGATGGGATGAGCTGACACACAAACTCTAAAGCTGGGAACAAGACGATGCACAAAATCCATGCCTCTTCCTGCCTCCAGCCTCTGAGTACCCCAAATCACAAGCTTATGCTGGGCACCTAGCCTTTACTTTTATTTAGAAGGAGAATTTTTTAAATGTTCTGTCAGTTGTCCACCTCAGGGCACTTTTGGTTAGAAAATTCCCTGTAGTAAGAAATACTTTAAAATCTGATCTGTGCCAAGCATGCTAACAATTACTCGTAACCTCAGCACTTGAGAGGCGGAGGCAGGAAGGTCAGGAGTTCAGGGTCATTTTTGGCTTCATAATGAGTTCCAGGGCAGCCTGGGCTACATGAAATCCTGTCTCAAAATGCTTTTTTCCTTTATAGAGTGAAACCAACACTCAAAGTGAAGTGCAAGCACCTTGCCATCCTCCTTATTGTTATAGACACATTTCTCACAATCAATAGAGCAAAGAAAAATGCATGAGGCAGAGATATTTGGAAGAATTCCATTTATTGTGGATGCATTTCACAATATATTTTTATTGCAGCGATCAGTCATCAGTGAAAAATACCAAGTGTTTATAATGTTTTTAACAATGGCAGATTCACAGAACACGCTATTCAACGTGCAGTTTCCTCTCTTAAAGATAACAGAGAGCTGTAATTGAACAAGTAAATGAGGAATTTGCTTTCCCAAAGATGAAATCCAAACAGAACAAAATTCTACCCTAAAACTCATGTCATCCAAATATTGGAATAAAATTTAGGATCAAGACATTCTTTCACAACTTTGAACTTTCTTAAAAGCAACAAAAAAACCAAAAAAAACCTAGATAATAGCTGTCAGAAGACCTTTGTTCAAAGCTCTAACACATGTTCCCTCACCATCAGCCTTAAATTGAACTTTGATCCATTTTACTCCAATGATGGAAGTCATTTCCACGTGCACCCTGTGCATTCTAGTTTATCTTGTCATAGACTTATGTCTACTCTGTCATGGGTAGATGACTTGTGTAGTCTTAGTGGCTTTCCTTCCTTTGGCCCAAGTTTGCTAAAAGCTAAGGAACCCAACTAACTCTTACTAATTCATGAGAAGAACAGAGTTTTCAAGGCAGCAGTTACCCCTCAAGCCAACCTTTCTCTCTTGAAGGGAAATATGTGGATTAGAAATGGTTATTTTGGAGGCTCTCCCAATGCAGAAGGAATGGAGACTAAGATAATTTGGGTTAAGTCAGCTGAGGTATGAGTTTGTACAATGACACTGTATGCATAGAATGGCCTATATAAGAACATTTTGTAAGATGCTGGAGTACTTTTCATTATCTACTAGGAAGAATGAAGACATGATGTCTTAATGGTGGAGTTCCTAAAGACCCCTGAGGGGGAAAGTAACACTATTAAAATTTACATATAGTTTTGAAATTTAAAGCTATTATCAACTTAGGACAGTACCAACTGACTAATAAAGACATAAAATTTTAATTTAAAAAGTCTGAGTACATAAAGATAGAAGCCCTGCCATGCCTTTGCTCACTTTACCTGTCTGCTTCTACACGAGGTAAAGTTGGTCTTTGTTTAGGCATCTACACGAATTCTGGTTTGTGCAATACTGTCACCAAAATGCTTGGCTTTAAGTAGAGAAAGAAGAAACCTTAGATATCATGTAGGTCACTTTTTGGGGAACTTCACTGTTAACAAATAAGTAGGCTTTGAGCTTGGTCCAGATGGTAGACTTAATAAAATTCACACTGGACTTCAAGACTGCCCTCAATTATAAACTAAATACTATGTCTTATAAGAAATTTTAACTGATTTTGACACTTCTAATCTCTTTTTTCAAATACTTTTTTCTTATAAGTCATCGGGCATTGAGAACATAGCTATACCTAACTTCCATGTTTCTACTGGCAAATATGAAATATTAATATAATATTGTGATTTTAACCTCCAAAAGCTGTGATATTGGTTAGTTACAAGGACATACTACTAAATATAATAGTCTAGCACATTTAAGAGCAGTCTACCATTAGTGTGTTTGTATACATGTATGCACATACATTACATAGTTGTGTTATCTAAATGTGGTTCAGGCTACTATCACTACCAAAGAAATCCACAAAGCAATCAACCTGAAAAAAAAAATCAGTACCACTGTCAGCTAAAATAATCATCCAATTAGGTCTATGAATCAGCACATAAAAAAGCAATATCTCAACAGTATATCTTTTTTTTTTAAAAAAAGACAATCATTATTGCTCCATATCAGATCTGAAATGGGTTACTTTCGGATATTTTCGATTGCCTTCTTTGATAATTTCTTCCATGCTTTAGTCTAAAGTGCAGAAACATGATGTCTTTATTGAAACAAAACAAAACCTATGGTTCATTTCCCCCACTAGATACTGCATACATTCCTCAGATAATCTTAACCTCGAATTCCTTTTGTTGACTTCCAATGTGGTTGGTGTCACTGTACAGATGACAGTAGACAGTAGCGAGTCTATTTCACAGCATGAGTTTCTTTAGAAACAGGCTCTTCTGCAAAAGCAGTACTTTGACCATGAACATCTCTAGTTGTGATTATTAAATATGGTGAGCATATACATGGGTTTACTGGGATATTGGAAAATAAAAAAAAGGAAAATGAACCCAATTTAGTAAATCAACATAAATATAAACAGAGCAATTAGCCCCCTACAACTGAGCTGGCCCAGCAAGACGTCTTGCAGTTGGGTTCTTTCTCCGATTGTTTCAAACCTGCTGAGAGAAGAGAACTTTAAATCAGCAGCCCACAGTGTTTCAGTAGGACAGATTTTGCCAGAAAAATAAACTAAAAAGACTCATGGTGTGATAGGAGTAAATATAAACAACGAGAAAGGGAAGGGTACTACTGGCATTCTGTTCAAGTGTGACATTTCACTCCATCTTTATACTGATTTTTTTTTTTACTTTTTCTTTCTCCTGGATGTTCCTTTCCTATGTTGACCTTCATCTTTTCTCAAGACACTCAAATTCAAGATGGCTTTTAAGCTCTACAATACGGACTGGGAATTTCCAGTGTTTTACATGACTGGTTAGCTCAGTTAAGGCCACATCAACATGTAATTATGACAGAGGATATGCTTATCCCTGCTTTTCTCCTATATACCCCAGCCATCTTTTTTTTCTTACCCCTACACACTGATCCCTGAGACTTATCTGACCCTTAATCTATTCTTACCCATTCCTCTCCCCTTCATCCAGCTGCTAAAAGTCCCTGATGAGGTAATAACATATTATAAGACAGATTGCATTTTCAAAGTGCAGTGTATTTTCATTTCAAGGGAATGGTCACACAATAAGTAGGGAGTTTGATGTTTTGGAGCAGGAACCCCTCACCTGCTGTTAAGGGCTCATTAAATCAGCTAGGTCTGGGGTTTTACTATAACGGCTGTAAGAGATCAGTGGGAGAGGCTAGTGAGGGAGGCATGGGGCATGAAATGCACCCCTCCACTTTGGACCACCATGCTGCACAACCCCAGGTGCACCCTCCTTGCTGTCCTGTATGTGAGAGGTGTCCTTTTAGTCCCACCATTTCAGAGTGGTTTTGCTCTACTTTCCATAGCCTGAATGTGACCACAGGGCCTCTGATACCTGTGACAGTAGATAGTCAACATCCCCTGCTCAGAAAGGAAGCTGTCATAATACTTGGACCACTACTTTGGAAGATATATCTATGCTACCAGGATTTTGAGTCTTAGGCCCACAAGTTCATTCTTTGTGCTTAAAAAAAAAATCATACTTTCCCTGCCACCAATAGAAAATTATGAAGAGAATTTAAGAACATTACATTTTCTGCTGAATGTACATTCTAAAAAATATGGGTAATGGTTAAGAATGTAGGTTCAGAAGCCAGGCATGGTGGCAAATGCCTTTAATTCCAGCACTTGTGAGGCAGAGGCAGGTTGATCTCTGTGAGTATGAGGCCAGCCTGGTCTACAAAATGAGTTCCAGGGCATCCAGGGCTGTTACACAAAGAAACCTTGTCTCAATAAATAAATAAATAAATAAATAAATAAATAAATAAATAAATAAATAAATAGATAGATAAATAGATAAATAAATAAATAAATAGAATGTAGGCTTAGAGCAGAGTGCTTGAGTATCAGTGTAGGTATTTTTTGAACATAAAAATTTTTATTTTTGTTTTATGTTTGTGTTTTGACTGCATGCCTAGTGCCCTTGGAGGCTAGGAGAGGGTGCCGATCCCTGGTACTGTAGTTACAGAGGGTTGTGAGCTGCTTTGTGGGTGCTGGGAATCAAACCTGGAACATCTGCAGGAGCAGCAAATGCTCTTAACAACCGAGCCGTCTTTCCTGCCCCTCAGTGCACATTGTCTAACAAGTTCCTTTACAAAAGTTATTTAATTTCTCAATGCCTCATTTTCTTCAGCTATAAAATGGGAATAATCCTACCACTTGCCTCTCACAGTAGCTGGAGGATCACATGAGACAGTAATCGTTCCTGCCAAACAGTAGCTGTTCCCTCAGTCTTGGTGGTTGGCAGTGGTGATCATCACTGGGTCCTTTTTAGCATACTTAGCAATCATTTGGATAATGGGAGTATTTAGAAGTCACTTTAAGTAGAGAGGCTGGGCTGGATCAAAAGAGCAATCTCCACTGATGGAGAAGGTGGAAAGGCACACTTGGGCAGCTGCACCAGGTTGAAGAGAGTGCAGAATGCAGGAAAAGGGGACCTCACTCCTCACTGCAGTGGATCACAGTGGTCCTTTAGCTGCCTTCACGAAGCTCATTAGCCTGGAGTTTGCTGAAGAAGTCTCTATCCTAGGGTTCTGCAGTACTTGGAAGCAGACTATTCTCACCTTATTACTGAGCTGAGTTCTCTTTCTAAATTTTCTCCTATTGGGGGACAGGCTGGATCTGTTTCTTGAAATGGGGAAAGGCCACAATTAGGAGTGCATTACCTCCTTATACAACCAGTAGTACTGGTTATTCTCTGAGTGTATTTTAAACACCACCCAGAGTGTGTTTCTAAAAAATATGCAAACCCTTTTCCTAGAGGACCAAGCATTCTTAGCCATTAGTCTTCACTGGATAGCATATTTTGTCTATTTAACATTTTTTTCCCCATAGCTGCCTGAAGTCTGAGGCTGTGGGCAATGTCTCCTGGGAGAGTTCTAGAAATGGAGCCAATGAAGGAGACACACAATTTCTCCCAAGAGATTTGTTTTCCCCTAAATAACTGTGTAGCCAATCAGGGACCCTGCCAAGAAAGATCGCCCATGCTTATCCCATATGGCCCTCTTGGCCAGCTTTTCCACAACTGTGGCAACTCTTCAGAAACTGTCTTACTGGAACCCATTCCGTGACTGAGCCATTGATGCTGTAAGCCTGACAAACAGGCAGTGCCAATGGCTTTGTAAATTGTCCTTTCTCTGAGCTACACATAGAAACTGATGGTCGTCCAAGCACAGATTTGTGAGTCAGCAATATTTCTCATTTGACCCCAGGACATCTTATTCCATGATTCGTCAGGAAAAAAAAATCAACTGCTGACACAGGACCCCCCCTCCCCCCAGGATATTACCTTAGTGGGGGAAGTGACCTTGTCCACGGATTGCTTTTCCCAGAGGTTTCGCTTGCCAGATACATCCCCTGGCCTCAAGTCCTAATGAAAGAAAACAGGAAAAAAAAAAAGATGATAGGTGACCATTCATGATTTCTGGCTAGGCCTATGTAAGCTAGCTACCACATCTACTGTCCAAAATGGAAGAACCGCTAGCTTCTGACTTGTGAACAGACCTTGGCCTGTTTCATGAGAATGGGCTGGAAATGCATACAGCATCTGGGTTCTTCACTAACAACTCTCTGGCTACAGACGTCCATGTTGCCTACTCAAGAGGCAGGCTGGAAGGTCAGAGTGCTTCTCAGGCCCACTGTGGCTTAGGGAGTGCACTTGGAAGCACCTGACCTCTGTAGTGTCTGCATGGAACTAAATTCTCCTAGCCCCCATAGTTCTGTGCTCTCTAACACAGCTCCCCAGCTCATTCCCTGTAGTGTTTTATTCATGCCCTAACAACTCCCTTATACAGGATCACTGTCTTAGGGTCTGGAAATCTGAAGGAAGACACTAAAATCATTCTGTTTCTTGATGGCCAAATGTATAGTTCAGAAGTGGATTAGTAGAACCTAGCCCCACAAAAATAATCACGTGTCACAAATGATAACCCTAAGAGAAGTGGGCAATTGATGATGTATGTTAAGAACATGTGTGAATCCTGGGAAGGAAACAGTAAAATATGACCCATCATAGTTATACAGCCATGGGTTCCTGTTTACTACCTCATAATTAATTTCATTTGGATAGGGATCCAAATTTCTGTTTCCACTTACTTTTATTCCAGCCTTTGCTTATATTAGTACTTGGCACGGGTAGTTTGGAGAAAATGAATGTGTTTTACTGAAATAGGACTGCTTACTTTGGCAATGCCCTTTCTCATTAGGAAGGCAAAGCTAGCAACTGTAGTTTTCCATAGATACCAGTTTTGATGAACATACTCAGTTTTGATGAACATATTTCTGACACAGAGCACTGGCCTCTCAATACTGAACGTGCACTGTTAAATAATGCCATATGAAGATTTGTCATACTCTTATTGAGTTTATGGACTTGTGGCATGAATTCCTGATCTTCTATTAGAAAGCGATACCTATTTAACTTGGAAACATTAGGCAACAAATCATATTTAAAAAGAAAAAAAAAGAATTCCACTACATTTGCCAATGTGGGTAAAAGTTGCCAAATTGTCTGGAAGACCTAAAAACATTGGCAGCTATAGTAAGGAACATGCTGGCAGAGGCTCTGAAAAGTGGGTATAACTGCTTATTTATTTGATTCATAGATGACAAATATTTTTCTTTCACATGAGTGTTCCTACTTAAGAAAATAGATTGCATTTCCCTGAAGTAGTGTTGATGAATTTTTCAAGATCACTTAAAGAGTTTAAATAAGGTGTTTTAAGAAAATATCAACATCCACATTGTAAGCCAGTATTTTCAAGCCAAAGAGGAAATATAAATGGAATTACCTGACCAGCCTATATGTTAGAGAAAGACCCACTCTGGGAGAAGAGGGAGAAATGAAGGCAGGAAAGGCAGGTTTCCAGTCAATCAGAGACGAAAGAGTGAAGAAGAGAAGCCAGCTGAGAAAGACATCATTCTTTTTAAACAAAAAGAAAGACATGTTAGCACTTCAATTGCTACATGACATGCAGTTTAGACACAAAGAACAGACAAACCAGCTAAAACATTCAGAATTGAATTCCAGTTACAAAGTTATACTGGAAGTCTATAAATTTTACTCATAAGTAGCTTGAATGTCCCAGAAAAATACACAAGGCAGGACGATGTTTAATTTTAAATATGCTCATTTTCTGGGGGATAATGATAATTTTGAGCACCTGTAATTCTTGGCATCTCTGAAAATGAGGCCATAACTATTAAGTCTTGTATGGCTTTTCTTCTGGAGTTGTAGAACTCAACACACTAGCGGTAGTCCTGTGGATTACTCTTCTACTTGTGGGGGTTTCACTATGGATAAAGACTTTTGTTGAAAAAACTCTCTCTGACTTTGTTCTCATGGCCACAAGAGAAATACTTGCAAACAACAAACCTAAGATTTCTCCTCTATCTACCCATGGTGAGAATAAAAAATGGGTTGAGAATTGTATCTCATCCAGAATCAGAAGTTACTATAGGATTTCTCCTACTGGATGCTGCTTTCAGATAATGCTCTGATATCCTGGGCTCAGGATCAGTCTAACTAGAGCCCCAAAGGTCAAACTTGGATGTCTTGAAGGGCCAAGATGGAACCACACATGTCGGAAGAGGCTGGTATAAGAAAAGAAAGAAGGACTGGAACCAATACATTTAAGAATGTATGTTTCTATACTTCAAAAAAGTGCCCAAATTATAATTTGAAAAATAGAAACCACCATGGTGTGGGTCAGAACTTAGCTGCAGGTCACCACTGTGATACCTTGTGGACAGGACCTAAGATCCCTGTTTGACCTATCTTTGTATCCTATCATCCTTGGATGGTTTGTCTGACAGTCTACACATCTGCAGGATTCTGGTGGCCTTTTCCACACTGAAACTTTACCTCCCTTCTGCTGGAACCACAGATTCAGCGCTTCACCATTCCTGCTTTGCTGGGTTCCGAGTCATTATCTCCTTCCAGGAGATGGTCACACGACTAGCTGTAATTTGACATGGTGGGTCCTAGGTCTAAATTATAGGAGGGAATACTACCAGAGGAATGTGTGCAAAGCTTTAGAAGGTTTAATGAGTATAACTAAACTAGTATTTTATTTATGACATAAAATATGTATTTCTTAACTTCTAATCTGGTTTTTATTTGAGACCACACAAATCCACCAAACCCAAAGAGAAGAAGGTGATCACCAAAATCTATACTAACTGTCATATTCTTTCCTTCTTTGCTTTCTTAGATAAGTCTATAAGTCACTTACTAAATAGGAGGTGAAGTAGCCATTGATTTTGTAAGTCCCCTGTATTACTTTTCTGTCCTGTCACTTTTTAGGAGGCCATCAATAACCCCAGGAACTGTTATTGCTAATCTTTGGTGTGGGATCCTTAATACAATTACATCTATGATAATAACTCCACTTCTATTTAATCTTTTAAACTCTTGCACTAGGATGGTAATATATAAGGTGGGAAGCTAGTCATGTCAGGTACTGATAACAGATTAGAGAGAAAGCACTGGACCAAACACACAAGGACAACCTGGTACAGGAAGGAACTAGACCACACATGCTGTAAACACGGGAGGACAGGAATGATCATCTCCTCTATAGAGGTAGGATGCCATACTCAAAGAGAAAGCATTTATCTTTGTGTCCTTCCTTTTTCTCTCATGAGAGTATCTCAAGATGGGTATGTGTCCATGAACATACCAAATTTACAAGTTATAGAAGGGTCTTTAGTTTCATTTGGCTATCAAAGGGATCCATAATTCAAAAATAAAAAAATAGTAATCATGGGTCTAGAGCCATAACATTGACAGAAATGATCATAATTTATTTCTATTTGAAACTAATTTATACTTTCGTGTCAAGATGGCTGGTAGTGAAACTTGAGGCTCCAAAGACACATCTGGGTGTGGTGTCTTGCCTCTCCTTTCTTCTTTTATTGACTCTCTCTCCTTTACCTACTTGGGGGCAGGGGGTATTTTTTCAATGTATAATGTTTTCACAACTGTAAATTGAGTTCACTCTGGCATATACCTCCTGTGAAGCCTTATGCAAAGACTCTTGGGTAGAAGAGTAACTAAAAAGCTCAAGGTGTTGCACCCAAGAAGGGAATGTAAACACTTCCATCTCTCCTTTATAATTTGGGAAGTGCTAGGATTTAGTGACTTTGGAGATTATATGTAGAGCCAACAGATGCAGTGAAATGCTACAGGGACTTAACTCTTTAAAGGCTTGGGATCTGGGATATTTTTCTTCTTAAAGAGTGAAAGTTATGTTCAATGCCAGCCTGGTCTATATAGTGATTTCCAGGATAGCTAGGGCTATGTAGAGAGACCCTGTCTCAAATACACACACACACACACACACACACACACACACACACACACACACACACACACTCTAAATCACTTAAAAACAATGAATGTGGGTTATGGCAATTCACTTTCTGCTCCCTTGATACCAATAAAACTACAGAGCCAGCTTAGCAGAGAATGCTGAATGGGGAACACAAATGGTTTATTTATTCTAGTAACAACTCTAAGGCAATTACATATATTCAATGAAAGAGTTAAAGTAATATTCGTATAACTAGCTTATACTTAGTAAATAAGAAAGTTTTAGTGGTCTAAAATAATATGAAGCCAATTTTTGTAGTTTTCATTTTTACTGGTTATGGTGTATGTAGGGGAGGAGTATTCCAATTTTCTAGTTTCAATTTTTTATGGTTTTCCTTTGCAGGTGTTGATAACAAATTATTCAATTTATATTATATATAATAGCAATTATTTCAAAAGCTACTAAATAACTATTTTGTGTGAAGTTTTAGAAATTAGGTAAAATTAGAAAACATGGCCTCAAAACATATAATCTTTTTTTTTTTTTTTTTTGGTTTTGGTTTTTCAAGACAGAAAATTTCTCTGTGTAGTTTTGGTGCCTGTCCTGGATCTTGCTCTGTAAACCAGGCTGGCCCCAAACTCGCAGAGATCCACCTGGCTCTGCCTCCCGAGTGCTGGGATTAAAGGTATGCGCCACTGCCGCCTAGCTCAAAATATACAATCTTTTGGGAATAAGTTTTGAAACTTGTAATAGAGAAGTAACCAGACTAACATGGCATTTTGATTTCACATTCCTGTGTGTGATTTATAGACTAGAAGCCAAATAAACAGATAAATAAATAAATAAATAAATAAATAAATAAATAAATAAATAAACAAAGAAAAAAGGGGAGAAATGCAGAGGGTCTTGGTTGAACTGCCCCAGCATCGTGTGTTAGGGATAAGTTTCCCTTTCGCTCAGGCACAGGCCAGGCTCTGTTTTATCTCGAATCATGGTGCAGCTGCTCAAGCTGCTCTAGGTCTGCACACCCACCAGTGTGTTGTTGCTCAGCAGCGGCAGAGGTTAAGAAAGCTTTCTTTCCAGGCAGGCAAGCCAGCTGCTCTTTTATTCTGCTATGTAGGTTGTGAGGTCCCAGAAAATCAGAAATGCCCCCAAGCTCACTTACAGAAGGCTTTGGAGCAGGGGACTTGTTGCCATCTGGTGATTTAGTTAGCCATTCATTGATCCGGCTGGAAACTCCCACCTTCAGACCAGCGGTTTCCTGCAAAAAAGCCAGTCATCGCAAACACTAAAGAAAAAAAGTACATTTACCTAGGAAATCTTCCGACCGACTTCAAGGTATCCTTAAATCTGCAGTGGCTGATTAGCAACCTGACTGAGGGAGTAACTAGAGAAGATGAGGAAGACATCGCTGCCCCACCCCAGGTTGTGAAGAAGCGCTGCTTTGCCTGTGTGCCTCACAGCTTGCTGGGGAGTGCATCTGCCCGGTGGTTTAGGTAGCCAGCCTTCCTTCGCTGACATAAGAACCCAGTTTTTCACCCTTCCAATGTGGACTAAAGCCCAGTAGCTCTCCAGGTATCCCCCAGGCCTTCATCACCAGATTGGGACTGCCAAAGCACCCAGTACTGTGGGCTAAACAGCCATCTTCAGTGGGTGCTCAGCCTCTCCAGCGTGCAGTCAGCCATGGTTGACCCAGCCTCCACCACATAAGCCAATTTAATACGTTCCCCTTTATAATAATGTATATTTATTGTATTGATTCTGTCCCTTTGGAAAGAATATTAGGGGGCTGGAAAGGTGGCTCAGTGGTTAAGAGCACTGGCTGCTTTTCCAGAGGACCTGGGTTCAATTCCTAACACCCACATAGTGGCTCCCAACCATTTGTAACTCCACTTCCAGAGTATCCTATGCTCTCTTCTGACCTCTGCAGGCACCTGGAATTCACACAGTGCACAGACATACATACAGGCAAAACACCCATACACATAAAATAAAAATAAATCTTTAAAAAAAGAGGTGTATCAGTTTTTCTTCCATGTCCCCTCATCCCATCCCAACCCTAATGACTGATAATTAAATACAAGCACTTCATTTAGTGGTCCATGGCCACAGCTGAGTACACAGGCTAGCCCCATGAATACATTCTCTATGAGCTTGCTTTATTTTGCCTTTTTTTTTTCAAATCAAAGTGCTGATTGTACATTCTTTATTGCATTTGTTGTGAGTGAAGGCTATTCCTAATACAAATGGAGGAAAAATCCACTTTTCAAAACTGACGATGATGAGAGCCATACTTATACCTTATTTGGTGTTCCCGAGGCCGAGGGGGATGAAAACACATTCCCTCTTTCCCACATGCTCTTGATATTGCGGACACCTTCAGCAGGAACAGGAAGATCCGATGCTGCAGGCTTAGTAGGTTTTGAAGCTTTTGTTCCCTGAAATGTGGAAATAAGTTTTAAGACAGCGTTGAGACGCTTGTCCTCATAAAATCACAGTGAGCTGGTCTCAACACAATCAACTAAAAATGCCATGGTGTAAAGTCCATTGAAAGGGATTCGTAGTGTCTGTTTGTTGTACAACTCCATTCTGATGATGTGATTCTCCACACATACCATCAGAGCTGGAGAAGATGATCTTTCAGAAAAGAAATATGCTTTTTAGGGCTCTAGTTATCATTAAGGTGACAGAGAACTCCATTTCTTCAGCAGATTTTTTTTTTGGTGTTTTTTTTTTAAATGTGCATGCATGTTTGCATGTGTATGTGTGCATGCATGTGGAGACCAGAGGGGTGTGTGTGTGTGTGTGTGTGTGTGTGTGTGTGTGTGTGTGTGTGTATGTGTGTGTGTATGCGCAGAAGACCCAAGTCTTAAACTCAGGTGCTGTTCCTTAGAAGCCATCCACTTTTTTTGAGGGGAGGGGTGGTTCATGGATTCAGCTAGTTTGCCTGGCCAGTGACACCCAAGAATTCACTTGTATCTGCCCCCTTAGCACTGAATTACATGTGTGCAGCCATGCCTAGCTTTTTTATGTGGGTCCTAGGGCTCAAACTTAGGCTCTTTTTGCTTGTGCAGTTGCTGCCTAAGGTAGTCCCCAAGCCTCTCCAGTAGATAGGCATTTGCTCTGTTTTATTTTTAAATGTGTATGTGTGTGTGCGGTGTGCGTGTGTGTGTGTGTGCGCGTGTGCGTGTGTGTGCGTGTGTGTGCGTGTGTGTGTGTGTGTGTGTGTGCGTGTGTGTATGTGTGTGTGCATGTGGAAACTAGGGGTTGGTGTCCAGTGTCTTCCTTGATTGCTCTCCACTTTATACACTGAGGCAGGGTCTCTCACTGAACCTGGAGGCCACTGATTCTGCTACTCTAGCTAAGCAACTTGCTCCAGGGTCCTCGTGTCTGCTTCCCAAATGCAGGCTGCCATGCCTCCAGCTTTTAGATGGGTGCTGGGGGTCTGAACTCCAGCCTTCAGATTACAAGGCAAGTCCCACGTGATTATACAACCTGCTGAGCCATCGCCCAGCAGATTGGTTTTTAGCACCTACTATGCATGTGAACTTTGGTAGTGTGTCAAAGCCAGCCAGTTTGTTCCATAAGCCACAGCAAGCTTATATTTTGATAGGCTAAGTGACAGTAGCCACTATATTAACTAGTACTTATTTTGCATTGTAGTAAACACTATGAAAGTAATGGATTGCAGTATAGCCCTAGAAGAGAACACCTAACAGGAGAATGGTATTTAGTTTGGGGACATCAGTCAGGCTAAGGATACTCTGAGGAAGTAAGATTTATAACCAGACTCAAAAGTGGGAAAGGGAATAGGAAGGGTCTTCATTCTGTGCAGAAAAACAGCATGTGCAGATGCCCTGAAGTGGTGAAGTTCTTCAAAACTGAAAGGCTGAGACAGGACAGCATGGAGAATACACTGGAAGGGACAAAGGATATATGCAAGAAGGGTGTGTCTCTGAGAAACTTTCCCAGCAGTCAACAAAGACAAGCCCAGATGGCACAAGTTTCTCCATCAGTCCTGATCTGTGGCCAATAGTTGGGCAGGGATGAGTAACATCTTCAGTAGCCATAAGAAAATGACCTTACACATCTGTGCCAAGTCTGAGGCCACCGTCCTAGCTTCATTTGTCAGTGCCAGGACCAATCCAACCAGAGAAATGAACTGTCTGCAGTTGGTCATATTTTAGTGGACACCAATCTTGTGAATAAAAATCACATCTTGGGCCGGGCGGTGGTGGCGCACGCCTTTAATCCCAGCACTCGGGAGGCAGAGCCAGGCGGATCTCTGTGAGTTCGAGGCCAGCCTGGTCTACAGCGCGAGATCCAGGAAAGGCGCAAAGCTACACAGAGAAACCCTGTCTCGAAAAACCAAAAAAAAAAAAAAAAAAAAAAAAATCACATCTTGGGTGTTAGAACTTCATTAAGTGCTCGATAAATCGTAAGACTCCTTTCTCAACCTCTCTCCCCATTTGTGAGCTACTTTATAGGCATCTCCACCCTGAGTACAAAGGAGAGGCGAAGAAGCAAATGAATCCAAGCTAGTCACTTCACTGAGGATGCTCTGATACAGGTTAAAACCATCACTCAAGGCCATGCAAAGCCCAGCCCAGCATCACATCTTGATCAGTGATGCTACTCTTTCAGCTTCTGATGAGAAAGACACATTATTTCCAAACATAATCAAATTCCCAGGTCAACTGAATAGAAAACAGAATTGACAGAAGCATAAAACTATATGATCCTTTAAATACTAACCAACCAAGTAAAATGATGATTAAACACAAGTTGTCTCTCATCTTGATGTTGTTTCATGCTACTATATTTATTAATAGGAGGTTTCTGCAAACAAAATTCAAGATGTACTTGTGACTACTTGTGATGTATACATCCATCAATCTATTCATTAGTGACTAGAGAAAAAAGGCTTAGTGATTTAGAACACTTGCTGCTCTTGCAGAGGACCCACATTCAGTTCCCAGCATCTACATGGTGGCTCATAACTATAATTCCAGTTCCAGGGGTGCACATATAGACATGCAGGCAAAAACATTCATATACATAAAATTAAAAAATCTAAAAGAAAATCTATTCATTGAATCCATTCACTTCAAAGAAAATGTAGACTGTTAAGTGTTAAAAACAATCTACTCAAGAGTCCCTATGCATCTTTCTTACTGTTTCTCCACAGCTAGTTCATAGTTGTGGAGATCATTATTAATATGGTAATATTATCAGGGTGCCAGACTCATTCGTCACCCTGAGTGTTTCTGTGCCCACGTATGTAGTCACAGCCCGTTTCCATTTTACAGGACTGTGGCCAGGGAACAGCGCTCACCTCAATTGCGTTGGTATACTGCTCCAGCCTGCTGTCAATCTTGGAGACTACTGCTGCTTGATGAGTAGATTTGACACCACTGCCAAATAAGCACAGACATGAAAATATGAGACAAAAGACATCTCTCCACGTGTGTTATAGCTGATGAGTCTCAACGGAACAGTCAATTGTATTTACCTTTTCTGCACAGACTTATTCAAAAATTCTGCTCGTTCCTCTATCTAGAAATAGAAAAGAAGAAGCCTTGTGAATTTGCAGAGGGAACAGTATGTGCAAAAGTCCTAACAGTGGGAAGCTCTGAAGCCTTACAGAATGAGACATGGCTAAATGGAGACTACACCGATGCGCCTTTGAAATAGCTTCAGAACACTCCTGGAAGGCAAGGCATACCCAGAATGGCCCAAGTTTCTCCTTTGGTCCTGCTCTGTGGCCTGTAGCTTATTCACAGTGCCCTTCAACTACACCACTATCATTCCTGAACCTAGTAAATAAAAGCACCACAGAGCATGTGAGGGCATTACAGTGACGGGCACAGCACCCAGATGGGGAGAAAACTAGGAATAATGTATTTGACACCGAGGGAGAAAGAGTAGGATTGGAAGAGGATAAAGAATGCAGAGAGAGGGGTTGGGGGGAGACATTAAGTTTTGGAAGCAAGAAAGAGCTAGTAAGATGGTCTTACATAACATAAACCAATGACAAACTATTCATGTACTTAAATCCAAATCTCCTGTGATGGCACTTGGAATGGGTCCTTTGGAAGGTAATTGTGTCAGGAGGGTAGAGTCCTCATGAATGGCATTAGTGCACTGATGAAAAAGACAAGGGAGCTTGCCTACTGTCTGGTCTCTGTCACCTGAGGAGACAGCAAGAATGTGCCCATTTGTGGAGGAGGAGGAGGAGGAGGAGGAGGAGGAGGAGGACCCTTTCCAGAATCAGCAGAGCTGACATACTGATGACCTTGCACTTCCCAGTCTCCAAAATTGTAGAAAACAAATGTTTACTCGGTTTAGCTGCTTGAGGTTTTTTGTTTGTTTGTTTTTGTTTTGTCTTACTATGTAGTGTAGGCTGTCTTTGAATTCCTGATCCTCTTGCCTCAGTGTCCTAAGTGCTGGATTGATAGGCATGTGCCATCACACCCGGCAATGATAACTACTCAGTCTGTAGTAATCTGTTCCATTTATCCAGATTGATTTGAGAGAAGCGGGCACTGAAGTCCATCGACCTAGGGCAGCTTACTATAGTAGATTCCTGGACAGGGTAGGATTTGGAGCCTTTCAGCATGTGTGTTCCTTGGCAGACTAAGAGAACAAAAGGTCCTTTAAGGAGAATGCACATTTAGTAGGTTAGGAGAGCATATAAATAAAACATTTAAATGTCAGTGGTAGGTACCATATTAAAGATGGGAACATGATGCTACATCCATAAGACAAAGTGGGGTGGGGTGGGGGAGAAGGCTTTTCAGAAGTTTTGATATTTGAAGTGAGTTCTGTAGTTTACAATTTCTCGAGTGAACTTATGAAAGTGAGGGGAGGTATGCATGAATTAGAGGGGAATTGTTTTTTCAGTAACTCAAATACTTTACAGAGACTTAGGGTACGGAGGATAGCAGGAAGTACAGTGTAGTCGGTACAGAGCAGAGCTGAGGCTTGTGTTTTGTGTGTGGCTCTGCCAGCATCTTAGTGACGCGGGTCATCCTGCTCTCACACCAACTCAAGCCACAGGCCCTGTCACACTCCCCTTCCTCCTGAACAGTCAATCCAGCTTGACTTCATTTTCTAGTTTTGTGAGGACCCACCCTCCATTTACTGACTCTTGCTGGGAAATGCCTTAACAGTCGGCTCTAAATAATCAGTTTGCGTGGAGTTTATGAATTAAACACTGTACAATACTTAAGGAATTTAAGGAGGGACGTTGGTGCCCCTGATGACCAGGAGCTAGCAGTACTGTCTCAACAGACTTAAGGGAGAGATAATACTGCTAGTTTTAGATATTAGTTTGTGTATTTTCTTTACTTCACACTCCACTTCTCCATCAATGAACTCAAACACAAACAACATCAAAGACCTTTAGATTTAATCTACTTAAAATTTATTCTTTGCATATGTTATCATTCATTGCTACCACAATCAAGCAATGAGAACTCATGTTTAGAATTTCCCAAATGGTGGAAATCATAAGTAATACAAAAATATACCATTCAGTATTATTTTGAGGTCAAAATTCAAATGTTCCCCTCCCATTGGCATTATACAGTACCACCTGTTAGAACAGTTATAACCAAAGCTGCAGTCTGGAGAGCATGGCTAGCTATTGGGTTCCATTATAGGATAAGCTGCATTTAGGAAAATCCCAGGAAGTTCCTTAAGGAGCATGCCATCAAAACAAGTGGCACATAGTGTATTCCTACATGCTCATCTCTATTATGTAGAAATTAAAAACGCTCTGGTCCTTTCTATGCATTGACTTTAAATGGCTGTTGACATGTGCAGTTCCATGAGAGAGAACACAGAAAGGGGCTTCCTAGGAAGTTCAGAGGAAAAGAATGTACCTGAAGGATAGACATGAGAAATGAGGACACTGAGGGGCTTGGTAGAAAGGAGATGATTAAAGACTGAAAAGGGGAGGAAGCCCAGTCTCTCCAGAAATCAGAGTAGATAGGATCTAGAAGTCTCAGTGACTGCTCTCGTGTTATCAGGACTGTTCAAGGAAGGCTCATCTTGGGAGGGATGTTAAGGAAGGAAGAGAGAACATTGTTTTCTTTATTTGTTGATCCAGGAACAAGAGAGCAGACCTGGGGACAGGCTGCACCCTGTGACTGCTCAGAGATAACCAGAGTGGAGGGAGGGTTCTTCTGGTTGGTTGATCAGTGATTCTCAAGCTACGGTTGAGACTGGGTTTGCCATGAAGCTCCCAAACAATCAAAGGAAAACATTTTTTATTGTTTTGCATTTGTTTGTTGAGACAGGGTTTTTCTGTGTACCTCAGGTTGGCTTGGAACTCACTAGGTAGGTAGTCCAGGCTGGCCATAAACTGATGATCCCCTTGCATTAGCCTCCCAGTGCTGGGATCAAAGGAGTGTGTTACCATGTCCAGCCTTAAGCACTCTTTTTGAGGTTTATTTTTTTTTTATTTTATATGTATTGATGTTTTGCATGCATGTATGTATGTCTGCATGCATTGCCCATGGAGGCCAGAAGAGGTGTTAGGTTCTCTGGAACTGGAGTTACAGATGGTTGCTAGCTGCTGAGTGGGTGCTGGGACCTGAACCCAGGCCCTCTGCAGGAGCAACAAGTGTTCTTAACTCCTGACCATCTCTCCAGCCCCCATTTTTAACAAAAATTTACATTATTAAGAGGTTGAAAAACTATTTCATGACATAAAACAAGTACATGAAATTCAAATTTCAGTGTTCAGAGATGGAGCTGGCTTACTGGAGGCCTTGTGCTGTGCTCTGAGGGCTCACTGGCTTGGATGTTGTTCCCTTTGTGAGTCCTGAATCATTTCCGTGAGGCAGTCAACTAGATTCCCATCAAGGGGCAGCAACCTCACTTTGCACTTTTCTTTCTCACAGTATGCAGCACGGATTAGTTATGTTATAAATATCAGATATTAAAAAATAAACTCCTACTCTGGCTTAGATTGGTATGCTGGATAGTTGTATGTCAACTTGACACAAGCTGTAGTCATCTGGGAGGAAGGAGCCTCAGTTGAGAAAATACCTCCACATAAGATCAGACTGTAGGCAAGCCTGTAGGACATTTTCCTAACTAGTGATTGATGTGGGAGGGCCCAGCCCATTGTGAGTGTGCCATCCCTGGGCTGGTGATCCTGGATTCTATAAGAAAGCAAGCTGAGCAAACCATGAGGAGCAAGCTGGTAAGCAGCATCCCTTCATGTCCTCTGCATCAGCTCCTGCCTCCAGGTTCCTGCCCTGTTTGAGCTCCTGTCCCGACTTTCTGCAATGAAGAACAATGATGTAGAAGTATAAGCCGAATGGATTTTTGTTAAGTGTAGGTCTTGAATTTTCCCACAGCAGACCCTGAGATGACTGTCCAAGTACAAAAGTCACGGATTTCCTTGCAACAAGGATACATTGTCCATTGGGTGATTTCATTGTGTGAGCATCATGCTTTGTTCCTACTTATAGAAACTAAGACACCTACAATGTCATTATGTACCAGTATTGTGCATGTGGTCTGTGATTAACCAAATATTACCCAATTCACAATGGTACTTTGGGAAGTATTAGAATTGTAACCAAGCTGGGTATGGTGGTACACGCCTTTAATTCTAGCACTTAGGAGGCAGAGGCAGGTGGGTTTCTGTGAATTTGAGACCAGCCTGTTCTGCATAACAAGTTCTAGGACAGCCAGGGCTACATAGTGAGGCACTGTCTCCAAATGAACGAACCAACCTGTGACTAGCATCCACACCATCATAAAAACTAAGTGAAATTATTTGAATTCTGAGGGCAGCTGAAACAGCTCATTTGGTAAAATATGTGTCCCAGAATCCTGAGGACCTTAGTTCAAACCCCAGGTCCCAATGTAAAAAGCCAACTGAGGTTGCATTTGTTTATAATTACAGCTCTGGAGACAGGCAATTCTAGGCTAAGAGGAGAACCTGACTCAAAAAAATAAAGATGGATGGCTTCTGAGGAACAACACTTGAGGTTTACCTCTGGCCTCTACAGGTATGTACATTCATGCATACATGTCCCCTCACACATGTGTACCCCCACATACACATAAAAAACATTCTGACAAAGAGGCCATGACTGTAAAGTGGAGGTGACTGGCTTTTGTTTACTTTCATACACCCATGTACATGTAGCCATGGGAGCCTAGTTGAGACTCAACACTGACTTTCCCCATTATTGATGGTTGTAGTCTAGTTAGGCTAATGGTAGATGAAGACAGGATATGAATGTTAAAGGTTAGCTGAGGCTTCACTCACTCACTCAGTATTCATCTGCAAATATTTCTCAAATACCTTCAGTACATAAGGTAGTGAGTGTACTGGGTGTTCAAAGCCAAGGAGAAAGGAGAGACTTGGTAATAAATGACCGATGGAGTCTGTTGCCTTTCCCCCCACATCTCAACCACTCCATGGTCTCCCTGGCTTCAGCTTCTTTTGCTCCTTCTCTCTTCTCTGGACAAGAACTTCTGTCCTAAGCATTAGGGGCTGTTCCATGAAGGCAGTAGTAAGACCTACCTCTCCTGGAAAAAGGACCCTATCCACGTTGCAGCTCATCTCCTACAGTAATAGCTTTGCAGTTTGCATTGGAATAATTCCAGTTGTGCTTTTAGTAATCACAACATTAACATGAAAAGCATCTGAAAGAGTCAGTGGTCAAATGTCTGTAGCCCTCTGAAATTCATATGGTGCTAGTCAGTCCCCAAAGTGTAGACTCCTCATGAATGGGATTAGTACACTTCTTAAAGAGGCCAGAGGGAGCTTGATGGCCCCTTCTTCTCCATCCCACTGGATGAGAATAGCAAGAAAGTGATGTCATCTACGAAGAACCAGATATTGAATTTGCTAGTGCCTTGATCTTGGACTTTTCAGCCTTTAGAACTAACTGTAGGCAATACATGTCTGTTATTTATAAGTTACCAAGTCAAAAAGATGTTTTGATATAGTAGCCTGAACAGATTAACATAGGACAGCAAAGAGTTAAACGAAGCAAAGGAAGTCTTGGATGATCAAAAAACAAAGGGGCTCCAATCACATTACTATGATACCGGAAGAGAAGTTTAATAAGAATTTCTGGGACAAAAATACCTTGAGAGAAGAGCCTTTAGGAGTGAAACACTTGAATGGCTTCTTGTCCTCGGACAAGCCATCTTCTGGCATCTTCTGGCGTTTCTCAGCAGCTTCTGCCCTTCTCTTTTCAATCTCTTCCTTTAGCCTCCTCTTCTCTTCCTGAGACAGACAGAGCAAATAGCAACACATCACAATCTGCTTCTAGTGCTGTGGGCGCAAGAGCAGCAGTCAGAGGCGCCTTAACTCTACCATGTATGTTATCCAGTCTTCTGGGGTGCTCAGAAGAGAGGACCCCTGAGCACTGGAGTCCACTGCCTGGGTTTGCACTCTGGAGGGGTACTTTCCATCAGTGAGAACTTAATCTTACTTACTACCTGCCTCCGTTTCCTCATTTATAAAACAGAACCACAAGCAATCACCTAAGTTCATGACATCTAATTTAGAAAAATTGTATGAAATGTTTAGACTGCCATCCTGCTGGACAAGTCTCCTTTAAAGGTGATATGTTACCATCTTGTAAGTCACTTAACAAAACCTTCCTCTTTTGAATATGTAAATGAATATGAAGGCTCCCCCTGCCTGTTTCCAGGAAGGGTGGTCAAGATGGAAGGAATCCTTTGTGTTACTGTCCTGATATCCCCTTGTAAGCAATCAATGTAGCATGACAGTTCCTGCTTTTTGAGTGCCTGTGATGTGTCAGCCACTGTGAATACAGCCATCTACTTAGTCATCAAAAAAATCCTGCAAAATAGATACTATTTCACAGACAAGGAAAATAAGACAGGGTAGCTCAGGGTGTCCCAAGGTCCTAGCTTGTCAGTGGCAGAGTCAGGACACAATTCCAGGTCTGTCAGCTTACAAACTTCTATCACGGTCACTTTTCAGTTAGAGGTCATGGCCTCATTGGAAATGGGAGTGGGAAGAGACATTGGAATAATTCATCCAAACTTTCCATACAACTTAGGGAAACTGTATACCATCCATTTCAGAAAAAGAAAGAGTGAAAATCTTGTCACATATTTGAAGGGAATAGGAGCTTGAGGCCTGGAAAGTTCTAGGCTCAGGAGTTGGAAAAGCAGGGTCCTCACGCTTATCCCATCACTTATCCGTCAAACATCTTCAACCAAGTCACTCTAACTATTCGATTCCTGGTTTCTTTCCCTGTAAAGTAAGAACATACCCTAGGATGAAAGGAAAGGATGCACTTTATAAACTGTAGTGATCTACTTTGTAGCTGACCTAGCTGGTTTTTCATGTGCTGAGGTCAAGTTTTCCCCCTTGTAACCCGATCTGTTCTGTGTTAAGAATGAGACAAATGCTTTTGCCAGCAGTGGCAGGGCTCTGGTGGCCCAGCAAGCCACTGTTGGTTCTGGGATACCGTAGCGAACAAAGCAGATACCATCTCAGCCTCTGTACATTCTAATCTGCTTGGAGAAACTTGAGGGCCAGGGAGATGGCTCAGCAGATAAAGGTGCTTGTGGTAGAAGCCTGGAGACCCAAGACTGATCCTTGGAACCCATGTGCAAGGAGAGACTCAACTCCACAAAATTGTGCTCTGACCACCACACACAGATACACCACATGCATGCATATCACATACACACACATACACACACACCAGCAATAATAATCTATAAACATCTCTACAAAGACTCTCTGAATATTAGATATCTTGCAACAGCTATGTTTTTCTTTCCTTTCTCTTTTTGTTGTATTTTGTTTGCAGGCAGAATTTCTCTGTGTAACCAGGGCTGTGTCGGAACATACTATAGACCCCAAACCGGCCTTGAACTCAACATTCTACTGTCTCAGCCTTCCAGTGCTAGGATTCCAGGCATGAAGCCACCCACCCACTCTGCTTCCTAGCTTGGTTCTGTGATGGGTGGCAGACCTTCCATCTCTCTCAGATTCCCCACTGTTCCTCATTGAGAGGCTCTATAGGACAAGAGGCTCAGTGGGACAAGTATACACACTCCTCTGTGCGTCAGTTTCTTCATCTAGAAAATGGAGACACAAGTAGTCCAGGTTCAGAAACATGCCGTTTACCATCATAATAAATGACTGTTATTAGTACTGGGAGACAGGGTCTCCTATAATCTAGGCTAGCCTTGAACTTGATATGGAGTGAGGGAGGATGACCTAGAACTTCTGATTCTTCTCCACCTCCTGAGCGCTAGGATTATAGGGGTGCTCCACTACGTGGGTATATGTACTCCTAAGGATTGAATCTAGGGCCTTGTGCATGTTGAGGAAGCACTCTACTGACTGAGCTACCAGGCTTGTTATTGATACACTATATGTTCAAGAGTGCACACTCAGAAGAGCGGCAGGGGACTTCAAGGGACTGTTCCTCTCTGGGTTACAAGGTCATGGGCCATGCACTTAAGGACTTGGGGACATCCAGGTTTCCCCTGGCTGGGCCAGGCAGCCCTCACCTCCTCTCTAGCTTTGCGATCAGCTTCCTCCTGCTTCCTTTTCTGCTCCTCTTCCTCCAGGACCTTCCTTCTCTCTTCCCTCTTTTTCTTCAGCTCTTCCAGCTCCAAGGCTGCCTCCTGTTGTTTTTGTTTGAGTTTTTCAAACTCTTCGCTCTCAGTCTCCCCGCGGCGCCGGCGCAGCTCCTCCAGCCTCTTGCCAGCTTCCACTTGTGGGGTACCTTCAGCTTCCTTGTCCCCACTGGCCCGGCCTCCTGGGCGGCTGGGGCTGAGGGAGGAGAAAAGGCAAGGTAGTTACCTGGTTCTGTCTTGCAGCCCCCGTTGGAGGGAGGAGGATATCTGTCTGCAGGCACTATAACCAGGCCTGGGGTTGGTTGGGGATCTATATGGAATATAAGCACTTCATGAGAGCCTCTACTAGGGCAAGGTAAAAATGGTGCACCTAGTGTGGAGAGTCCTGTGCAATCCTGAAAATAATAATATCATATATATGATCTGGACAGACCACTTGGCACATAGTCAAAAGAATTGAAAGCAAGGTCTTGAGATGGTGGAACACCTACATTCATAACATTATCCACAAGAGCCAGGAGGTGGGAGCAATCTGACTCCATTGTGGGATGAATGAATTAGCACACCGTGGTATATCCACACCATGGATATACTATTCAGCCTTCAAAAGAAATACCGACACATGCTACAATGTGGATAAACTTGAAGCTATTACGTGAAATGAGACAAGCCAGTTATAAAAGGACAAATACCTCAAAATTCTACTTGTATGAGGAATCTATGGTAATATCAAATTCATAGAAACAGAAAAGGAATGGTGGTTCTCTGGGGCATAGGAGGTGGCCAAGGAGGAGCTGTGTGTGAGTGTGCAATCCCAGTTCTGCGGGATGAAATGATTGTGGAGCTCTGCTGCAGGATGTTGAGAATACAGTTAGCACTACAAACTGTAGGGTTTTTTTTTTTGTTGTTGTTGCTGTTGTTTGTTTTCTGAGACAGGATCTCTCTACAGCTGGCCTCTAGCTCAAGCTCATAATCCCTCTACCTCAGCCTCCTAAATGTTGGATTACAGCTGTTTACCACTATTTGGGCCCTATTGTTTCTTGGGTGAGTTAAACCCAGTAAGGTATGTCTGTTTTGATAGAGCCTCTGGGAAATTTTTCTTATCCAAAATGTGTATTTCTACCCTCTCTGACCCCAACACAACTGGAGTATCCTTTGTCAGGATTTAAAACTCTAAATTATTACAGATGTGGTGTGATCAGGGTGGTTGCTGAAGATCAAAGGGGTCGTTCATTATATCTTATGAATGTTTTCAAATGTATTATCACATTAAATAGTCATGATAACTGGGGAGGTGGTGGTATTCATAAAATCCTTATCTTATGAGTAAAGTGAGAGAGAATAAACAGTTTGTCCAAACTGTAGAAAGTGATTGAGGGCTGGGGAGATGGCTCACTCAGTAAAGTGTTCGCCATACACACATGGGGACCTGACTCAATCCCCAGAACCCATGTGGAAAAAAAAAAAAAAAAAACAACCTGGGTGTGATGAGAAACAGAGACAGGCAGCCAACTTGGAAAGCCAGCCCCGCCTAATCCAGATCAGTGAGAGACCCTGCCTCAAAACCAAGATGGATGGCTAATGAGGAACAACAGAATATACTCTGTTTTGCTAGTGACATCACACAAGCTGGATCCTCCCAGAACTGGACTAGGGGAGAAATTCTGGTGTTCTTCTTGAAGGTCTTGATACAGGGAGTCTTTTGCTTAGAGACAGAGATGTAGAGTAGCTTCTATTTAAATACTTATTAACACACAGTGAGGTCATTACTAACTAGATCCAAGCACAGGAATCCCACGCCTGACACCTTTGTATTCAGGAACAATGAATCACACTGTTTAATATTTATTCTGTGTAATGGATGGCACAATGCTTCCAGCTATGGAGTAAGAGAATGAAGGAAACAAGGAGTGATTGAGGATATGCAGTGCACAATACTGATCTTCTTTCTTTCTTTTTCTTTTCTTTTCTTTTCTTTTCTTTTCTTTCTTTTTTTTTTTTTTGGCTTTTCGAGACAGGGTTTCTCTGTGTAGTTTGTAGACTCACTTTGCAGACCAGGCTGGCCCCGAACTCACAGAGATCTGCCTGGCTCTGCCTCTCCAGTGCTGGGATTAAAGGCATGTGTCACTGCCACCTGGCTTACTGATCTTATTTTATATACCTTATGCTTTTGAACACAGAGGTAGTTCAGACCATATTGTTTCCTCTAGGACAATGTTTTCAGGCTTCAGGTTAAAAAATAAAATCAATTTAGTAAATTGGTCTCAACATTTTAAAAAGTGAAAGAGGAAAAACATCGAAGTGCATTGTGTAGAGAGGTAAAGACAGTACCATGCTTTGAAACAACTTGTTCTAGCTATAAACATGTATGTTTGGGGGTGGGTTATGATATCAAATTTGTTGCTGCAGGCTGAGATTATAAAATATAACAGGTTCTTGATGGTTAAAGATGAACTCTCATTTTGAACTCAAACAAGATTAAAGGGTTTCTTACAACCTTACATTGTGCTCTTTCAGTGTTACAGAGTCACAAGCTTCTGACTCCTCTCTCAGGAAGGTCTTTGCATTTTTAGAAACTGGTTTATTCTCTGGGATCTTGTGGTGTGGATGAGAAGACGCTGGCCTATGGAATCTTCTCTGGGTTCCACTAGGTGTCGCTCAGTCTTTATTTTGTGTAATCAAAGTGCCGGTTGGTGGTGAGGCTCTGGTTCAACAGTCATCTTGCAGAGCATGCGCTCACATCACTAAGTGCAAACTTAGATTTACTGGCACAGAAAGCTGGTTCTGTAGCACTGTCATTCATGGTACCAGACCCATTTAAAATACACCTTTCTGATTGCATTCACTCATATGCATATTGTACGATCCTCTGTGTGCGTACGTGCGTGCGTGCGTGCGTGTGTGTGCGCGCGCGCGCGCGCGTGTGTGTGTGTGTGCGTGTGTGTGTGTGTGTGTGTGTGTGTGTGTGTGTGTGTGTGTGTGCGTGTATCTTAACTATTGTAAACATAGAGGAATGTCTGAGATAAATGTTACTGGTGGCTGAATTAAAAAAAAAAAATCTAACCTTAAAAATGAAGAATCAAGTCAACTTTCACCAAAACGGGAGTAAGACCTTGGCTATACTGCCTCTGCCTAAACATGCTGGTAGGTTTGTAGCACCAGGGTGGAATATGGGAATACCTTCCAGAAAGTTCTGTCTTGTCTTTAGCTTTTTTAGGTTTAAGGAAAATCAGATACCAGGCTTTTGCCTATGAAGAACACAGCTTGCTTTTAGCTCAGCTGGTAAAAAAAAAGCATCTAGCTAGAGACTCTTACTGTATTCCTCACTGTGTGAGTATATGGAGTATATCATTCTCTGCTTGTATGGGTATCAACTCCTAGCAGACACTGACAAAAACAAATTACATTGTAGTAACCTATTTCTCTCTCTCTCCTCTTTCATGTATATATATATATATATATATATATATATATATATATTATATCTCACATACATAGATTCCTCTTGTGTGTGTGTGTGTGTGTGTGTGTGTGTGTGTGTGTTTCTAAAATGGGAAAATGAAGGCAAATTTACACAGAAGGCTCTTAAAGTCCTATGGTAAAGGGCTGTGATTTGGTTTAACCTAATGTGCCCCAAGTTTTTGGACCACAGAATAATCTGAACTTCACAAAACACTTATTTACAACCTTTACAATAATGAACTCTTAAAAATGGTACCGAGAAAGATTTGTAGAAAGTTGTCTGGACCACCTAAAGCATGAACCACTGATATTAATCTCAGTCATAATATTTCTTAATACACTGATACAATATGAGCATATTGTCAAAACATGGAGACTAAGCATTATATGCCTTGCTATTGAAAAAAGAAGAAGAACTAGAAGAGGATTAAGCTATGGTTGAGCAATGATTGCTGGTCTGTTAGTGACAGGGGCCCAGGATCTGCTGACTATGTATCTTTAAGACAATGGGAAGAATGTTGCCTGGTCAGATCCTTTCTGTCTGGAGGCGCAGGACAAAGAGACCCAGTCTCCCTCCCACATATGGGAAGACAGCGACTGTTAAATAGTCACAGCTTACCTGAAAGCATTCTCAGTTTGTTTAAGTTTGTGAGTCATGAATTCTCCATTCTGCGCTTTCACTTCAGTAAATCCTTTCTTTCGATCCAAGAAGCTCTTGACTTCTTCTTTGGGTTCTTTGTCCTTTTTAATCTTCTCATCTTTGATCTAACCAAGGACACATATCAGGAAGATAAATAACTATAAATATCTTACTAGGTTTGGGCAGGCTATTACCAACACCCCAACTTTTAAAGAAGTCTTTGGACTTGACGCAGAGCAATCATCCAGAACATGATGTAGAAAGGAAATCAAGAACATTATTACAGAGGAAGCCATGTTTCTTTGACCTGTGAGCCAAAACCTGAACCTTAATTTTATGAAGTCAAGAGCTATCGCTGATCTCACTGGGGTTTTTATTTGGGGAAGCAGTATTGTTGTTAGTTTTGGAAACTATCAAGTTCTAGGAATTCTACCTAAGAGTAGTTGCTTACAGTTCCCACTAAGAAAAGTAATTTCAGGTGTGGTTTGGATGGAAGAGTGGCCGTGTAGCTTGGCCAAGTTTCTTCTTGGCTAAAGGGAGCATCTTTGATAAGGGCCCAGTAAGGAGGAAATAAGGGAAAAGCCAGCAGGTGACACAGATCTGCCAGTTCTGGGGGCTATGATACAGGCATTTCAGTCAAATGATTGAGGGGACCCAAGGAGGGAACACATAACCTACCTTTAGGGGAAGGACTTAGAACCATGCATGACTGAAGCCACGTAAACAGTTCCAGGGTGCATGTTGATTTCCACTGGAGGAAAGATTTAGACCTCCAGATGTGGGTTTGTGATTGCTGTATAACACTGAAGGGAAGGATATGAGGAGCAATTGGGAGCTTTAGTATTTTTGCGTAACACAGAGGGGAAGGATATGCAGAGCAATTGGAAGCTTTAGTTTTTTTGTGGGGGTTGTGTTGTGAAGTCCTCATGGTAGATGGAACAGATTATTTCAAAGTGGCTTCTGAGGTGGGCAAAGAGTTCACATTACTATCTCATCCATTCTTAAAATGTGAACATGAGAAAGTGGTGTCCATTGTTCTTTTCAAGACAGTTGCAAAGAACTAGTGCTCTGCAGAAACACTTGGAAGAGAAAGGTAGACCATAAGAATGTAGGGATTCCTGACTGCCGAGAACTCTCTCCCTTTACCTGACCACTAACTGCTTTCCAGTGATTTTTGACACCCTCTCAATATTTACCCCTAAAAGGCATGTTTTACAAGTAGAACGTGGTGTTACGGGTTACCTTTTATAGTCCTTTGCCTGATAATCTTCCTTAAACGGTACTAAATTATCCTGGATGGACTATTCACTGACATTGCTCTAGTTAAGACTTTGATTTTCCTCTAAGGTGGGGTATATCTGGGTGTCCCTTAGTAATGCTAAAGAGGGAACCTGTAACGTTGCTGCAATGTCCTCTCTGGGAGATTTGTCTGCAGCTAAGGAGAGTGTTTGAGTCTAGAGGTGTTTGTCGCCCAGTTTCTCTGGGAAGCTCATCAAGACATAGCTGGATGAAATGATCCCTTTCCAAATCCCACCCTGTCATTGCCCTCTTGGCCCCTGATGGGGTATGAGCAAAGAGCAGGAAGCTCAGGGCCTGTATACCAGTGTGATCATGGCTGCTTGGCGGCTGTCCCTGCCTCCCAGAACAAACACATCGGTATTCATTGAATAGGTAGGAAGAGACAGTATAGTTTCATTTTGGCCTGTCACTGTTGAATAGAGCCCCAGAAACCATGGGCTAGAGTACACATCCTGGTTAATATGTATCTGGGAATACACACACAGAGGTGAAGGGTGCTATTTCCGGGGTACCCATGTGATAAATTCTGAGTCAAATCTCATGGCTTATGGGGGCAACAATATAGGTAAATTTCTTTTAACTCATTTCTTCTATTTTGCAGTCCAAAATACTTTAAAGTATTACCAGATTTCCTGGCAAAAAAATTACTTCAAATAGATTTGTAAAAGAATGGATGTCTATCAGAAGAACAGCCTCCCACCCCTATTTCTCCAAGCTGTGCCTCTGTTGGGAAGGGTTATGGTGGGTGGTCTACTCATGTTCTCAGTGGGAAACTTTCTTAGAAACATTCTCAATCTAATAATGACGGCTTGAGTTTGACTGAGAATTATTTTCTCCTGAGAAATGAATAAAACAGCTCTACAGGATCTTCAATTTTTAGTTTAAAGAATACAATAGATTAGATTCTTTGGCAAGGTCATGGCAAGCCCACAGCCTTGTGAACCCCTAGGAAAAGAACTAGATTTTTTAGGTTGCAGTGTTACCACAGAAAAAGAGCTCCACTAAAGGGTTACTCGGTGGTCATGAATGTTGAAAAGAGTAAACCTGCTTCGTTCACAGGTAACACGGGTGGGCTTCTAAGACCGCCTCCAGACATTTTTTGGATGAGACTCCATACAGCTGAGTTACTTAGTGGGGGGAAACATGAGCATGTAGGGGTGCAGGTATTTACAAGGCATAGCCTTAAGCTAGACACAACCCCAAAGACCAAGGGAACAGGTGGACCTTCCTGAGCTAGGAGTCTCTATCGTGATAAAGTTCCAGAGTAGCAAGAATTGGGTATTAATTGCAGGCTTTCTGACCACATTTAGCACATTTTTGTTAGCTTCAGACCCTAAATCCTCATCCAGCTCCCTCTTCCACACTATGGATGTTCTCCTGACTCTTTGCTCCTGAAATCTGGTTCCCAGACAACTCAGACCTTCAGCAGAGAGCTTAGACCCTGGCTTGGAGTAGCTGAATCATCTTTAACCAAATTGCAGGGTGCATCTGCACACTAAGGTTCAAGACACATGGGCCTGGGTGACAGGACTATCAGGTTCAACAAAAAACTCTCTGCTAGAAACGTTTTTTCTGTTAAAAGCCAAGGGAAAAACCAAATCAATACTGAGTAAAGAACTAAAGAGAGACAGCTTCTAATTGAGGAGGAGAGACAGAAAAGTTAATGTTCAAGATTGGAGAGCATCTGCACTCCAGGGCTGCCACAGAGTTCAACTGCAGTGGAGGAAGACAGGGGGTTGGTTTGTTTGTGTTTTAAAGCACTGGAGGGACTTTGGGAAATGTTTCCCCTGGAAGGTCAGCGGAATGTTTGTGTTTACTTGTGGTTGAACTATCCTGCTTATGCTGTGTGGATTCCTGCCAGGGAAGGTTTCTGTTTGCTTTTATGTGACAAAAAAAAAAAAAAAAAAAAAAAAGAAGGAAGGGGTTATTTAAAATGACTGAATCTTGCAAAAAAAAAAAAATGATTTAAAGTTGCCTATATAACACACCAGTCCAGCTAGTTGGGAAGGGGAAGCTTTATCCATAGACAGCAGTTTATCTATACAATATTAAAATTGATCTTCTGAAAAGCCTGGCTGGAGGAGATTATCTAGACTGGTGTAAAAATGAAGTCAGAAGTTATGAGAGCTGGAATGTGCTGTGGGGCAAACCGGGAAAGGGATAATGGCAGGTCTGAAACCAGCCATTCCCTGGAGTGTTGGACTGATACCATGGACTTTGCCTTATCTGAAAAGAGGCAGATGGATGACTGAGGATGAGCCTCTTCTGACTCAGACACCATACACAGGCATGGGATGCTTTGGCCATTAAAAGTAAAATCATTATCTTGGCGAAATTAATTAACTTTCACACCACCAGAGGGTGTTCACTACAGCCTGCCCCTCCCCACATTTCACCAGAGTTACAAATTTCACACCCTCTTCCCCTGTAGGAAGATGTTCCCGTGTGTTCAGCTGTCTCCTTAGCTGCCTGGTAGAGCTAAAGTCAGTTTCTGGGTCATCAGCATTTGCACTCTCTCCCTCCTTTAGCTAGCCAGAGCTCATGTTCAAAGAACCAGTTGTAATAGAAGGAGAGAAGAGCAAAAGTCTTTAAGTATAACATGCTGTATGAATGATAGGGTCTTCCTTCCTATGTGAATTTTACGAAGCCACTGAAGAAAACCACCCTCCTGTGACTAGTACGGCCATCTATTTTCTACACATGGAATTTTCTTTACAGTTCTGGATTTTCTTAATGGATGCTCTAACAGAGAAATGTAGCAAGAATCCATTTGGGCCAGTATCCAATGGCTACAGATCACTTCATCAGTCTCTTGGGCAACATAACTCAGGCGTTTCTACCTCTGGTGGTTCTGTTTTCCATATCCAAACTCCTTGAACTTACTGGAGAGCATGGCGATTTGTAGTGTCATCTGAGGCTAGCATGGCCGGGATGGATAGAACAAGACAGGCTTTCTGCACGGCACCATATGCTGGAGTGCCGTGGCACTCAGTGTGCAGAAGCCTCATTTACTTACCTACAAACACCCTGGCGTCTGCTCCCCTGTGTGTGTGCCTCATGAATGCAATGCAGGGTATTTGGCCAAACTTTTCTTTTGAAAATCGTTTATCATCTTCAGCTTGTCAATTGTCTACTGCGATTTAGGTTGGGGGAGGGTGCATTTTCTTGAAAAAGTTAAAGCATTAATCAAAGCCAGCTGGAAATATTTCATGATTGAAATGCAAGCAGAGAAGGATTCATGGAAACGAAAGTCACACTGCAGAGGCCGGAAGCTGGAAAGACTGGGGAGCAAGGCTGTCTGCGTGCTTGACTATGACACACTAAGAAAGACAATTTGTATGAGAATGCTGTACTACTGTCTACATGTCCACAGATGCTTTCAATTCCATGTCTTTTTCTTTCTTTCTTTTGAACTACTGATTATCAAGTATACACATGTGTGTGGTGTTTGAGTGTGTAGGCATGTGTGTGCACATGTGTGCATGTATGTGGAGTATGAGTGTGTATGAATGTGTGTTCAAGTGTGTGTGTATGTGTTTGTGTGTGTGTGCAAGACACAGGTTGATTTGGGGTGTGTGCAAGGTACAGGTTGATTTGGGGTGTATGCAAGGCACAAGTTGATTCTGGGTGTTGTCTATGGCTCTCTACCTTAATTTTTGAGACAAGGTCCCTTGCTGAAGCTAGAGCTCACTAGTTGGCTAGCATGGCTGCCAGTGAGTCCCTAGGGTCCCCTAGTGATCCTTCTGTCTTTGCTACCCCAAACTGGAATTATAGACACCCCCCTACACCATACCCAGTTTTTTTTTTTTTTTTTTTTTTTTATGTGCATGCTGGGATCCAACTCAAGTACTCTTGCTTGAATGACCAGCACTTTACTCACTGGGCCACGTCTCCAGCCAGATTAATTAGTTATGAGACACTCTACACTATCACATCAGTCCATGACCCATGAGCCGTTGACTGAAAACCACGGGAGAGGGGTTACGATGAGCCCCGGGATGCTGCTCTGGGTGTGGCTTTAGGTCTGATAACTGACAGCATTCACCTCTTCCTTTTTGAAGGCAGGTTTGTCGTCTTGGGATTCTTGTCTTCGAGCTTGTCCTTTAGCTCCCCTTTCTTCCTCCTTCTCCTTGTCAAGAATGGTGAAGGTCACTCAGGTGAACAGAAGCCCTTGCTAGCTTGTAAGAGTGAGAGGGTGCTCAGATCGCTCCGCGTGGACTGTGGTGTCTCTGTGGCTGTCTTAATGCCATACTCAGACCCCTTGGTGCCAGTGGTACCAGGTGCTAGTGGTCCTATCAGCATGTGCGGTGTGTCCCACCCCACCTTATTTTTTTTTCTCCTGCGCCTCCCACTGTGCTCATTGAAATCTGACATGGCACTGTGTTCCAGGTGTGTGTGCAGCCTGCCCATGATCTTCTCAGTTACAACCATGTGCATGAGCCCTTGGTAGAGAAGCAGGGGTGAAAAACAACATCAGCACAATGCAGTGATGAAGGGTTCACTCTGGAAAGGTGAACGTGCAAGCATTTCTGTTTTCTTTCATAGCTCTTAGAAGGGGTTTTTAATGCAGTCTTGCAGATAGAGAGAAAAAAAGACTCCCAAAACTTTTGTAGTTTACATTTCCTGACCCAACTAGTATTCCTATCCTTCCTAGAGCCACATGAACTTGTGCTACCCTCATGGCAAACAGGAGCAAACTGCATGTTCCTAACTGTCCATCAATTGTTAACTAGCACTACCCCCGCTGAATGACTTCCTGCAAGTCAACATTAAACCCGGGTCTACATGACGGCACGTCAGGCTTTTGAAGGTATGTTTTGTTTTTTCGGGGGGGTGGGGGTGGGAAGAGGTTCCAACAGTCCCCTTTCCCTCCTTTATTCCAGCTGACTTCAAAGGATATTTTTTGTCTTGCTAATATTAAATGTTGGAACTTAATTCTTTATTAATTCTCACCCCTAATTTTATAATTTAAAAAAATTACTATCAAACACCAGAGTGAGGTGAGAAGTATAGGCCTCTTGCCTCATGTACACCCAGGAAAGACGTCAGAAAGAGGGGGTTCAGATGCAGACGCAGAGACAAGCCAACACAGCCCCTACCACATTCGTCATCTTTGGGTTAATTCATTTTTTTTTTTATATAGCCATAACACCCAAGCACAGAGCAATTAATTTCTCCCTGGTTGTCCCATGAATTTGGCTAATTGCATACTTAGCCATAGTTGGATTGCTTCAGGCTTGGGTATTGCTATGGCCTGAAAAAAAGAATGAACAGCTTGCCAAATGATCAAGCACGTGAGGTGATGTGCACGAGGCCTCAGCCCCCAGTTTGGTGAGCATTGCATGTCTCCTGAGTCCCAGGCATCACACAGCAGGTGCCCAGGCATCACACAGTAGGTGCGCAGTGCTTACTGTACCTGCTTCTTTAGGACAGCTGTCTGGAGTCTGTCTTCTTGGGCCTTCCTTTCGTTCACTCCTTTCCTTTCTGCTTTCTCCACTCCCTTCTCCCCCTTGTCCTTGGTTTCTTGCTCCTCTAGTTGCCTTTTTTGCCTTTGCTCTTCTAGCCTAGCCTTCTCCTCCTCCGCCGCCCTGGCCCTCTGCTGCTCCTCCGCCGCTCTTCTCTGCTCCTCCTCGGCCCTTGCCCGCTCCTCTGCCTCCCTCCTTTCCCTCTCCTCCGCAGCAGCCTTTTGCTCAGCTTCAATTCTTGCCCTCTCCTCTGCTAGCTTCCTGTCCTGCTCAGCCTGGGCTCTTTCTCTTTCTTCCGCTTCCAACCTCAGCCTCTCTGCCTCGGCTCTCTCTCTTTCTTCCTCCTCCATCCTTTGCCGACGGGCTGTCTCCTCTGGGTCTCGTTCCCCCTCCCCCTCTATTTTGGACTCTTCTGCACTGACTTGCCCATTTTCCAATACCGTTACCACGGCTCCCTCTTGGGGTTCTGGTGTTTTCTCTTCTACCGTCTCCTCTACCTGATTTTCGCCAAGGCTCCCTCCCTTCAGCTTCTCTTCCTCCTCCTCCTGTTCTTCTTTCTTTTTGTCTTCAGCATCCTGATAGCTGTTCTTCTGGTAGGACTTGGTGACTACTTCTGTTTCCTCCACCTCATATCGTCCTGGGCGACTCTCTCTTTTTTCTTCCTTCTCTGCTGTTTCATTTTCTGCCGTGTCATTTTGCATTCTTCTGCTTGGGACAGACAGACTGGCATCTGTGATAGTTGGATCAAGCTCCTTCTGACGCTCGAGGGCTTCCTGGAGGCGTTTTTGACGTCTCTCTTCTCGCCTAGCCAGGCGCTCCAGTAAGGCAGCCTCCTCATCACCTTCTACCTGAGTGTTCGTGGTGGCTGGCTTAGACTCTTCATCAGGGACACTGGATGACAGAAGGAACAACACCAAAGAGCTTGTTGGTTAACCAGTCATCTAGAGTCACCCATAACCAGAGCAGAGCTAGCAGTATCCAGCTCACATGTCCCTAGATGTTACCACTCTACGCCTGCTTGTCTGGCTTCCAACTGCACCTAACCAAGTCTTTCTCAGGTCACTGTGTCTCCTCAACCTGCTGTAGGAGCTTTGAGTATTAATGTCATCCAACAAAAGCTAAGGAGTGTCATCATATAAACACTTTGGTCTTTCTCTGTTTTGAAGGATAATTCTACAGTCATGGCTCTTACCAGAGTTATGTTCCAGATAACCACAGTGGCCACTTATGCCAAAAAGCAACCTTCACTTAGTTGCCTTGCCCGCCCTGTCTCACTTACCTACAGCCCTACCATTTTTCCTTGGATTACCTTACAAACTATTTGTGATTAAACTGTGATTTCAGAATCTGGGTCACTGTGGATCCCGAGTATGACAAGGCTCAAATCAGAATAATGAGTGAATTCTGTGAGCATCATGGTTTCATATTCATGCCACCTAGCCATTCCTGATCTGGATTGGTGGGACCTGAGGTATTTAGAGGAGGAAGAGTATGTACAGTGTGGAGATTCGACATTTATGCCAGCAGTCTTCACTTTGGAGACATCTGAATGTCCTCCACAATTCATAGGGTAATGATTGCCAGTCAAGGATGGCATTTTCTACCCTCTGCCCTTCTTTGTACTTAGACAGGACCAGGTGACCAATGAAATGTGAACATAAATGATGTGTGCAGACCAAAGCTATTGAACAAGTGTATATTCTCTTTGCTTGCCAGCTCTTTTGGTGTTCAGCAGGCTCTGGATCCTTAGCGGGTAACAGAGTCATGGGGGAAGGAAAGACAGATGGATCCCGGGACTCACTGACCAGCCAGTCTAGCTGAATCAGTGAACTCCAGGTTGGGTGAAAGACCCTGTCTTCAAAAAAAAGTGGACATCCAGGTGTGATGGTGCACACCTTTAATCCCAGCATTTGGAAGACAGAGGCAGATGTATCACTGTGAGTTTGAGGCCTTCCTGGTTTACATAGTAAGTTCCAGGACAGCCAAGGATACACAGTGAGACTCTGTTGTTGTTTGTTTTTGCTCTTTTGGGGGGCCTCCCATCTAGCTCCCATATAAATCACACACAGAGGCTTATTCTTACTTATAAATGCCCGACCTTAGCTTGGCTTGTTGCTTGCCAGCTTTCCTTAACTTAAATTATCCCATCTACCTTTTGCCTCTGGCTTTTCCCATTCTCTTACTTCTGTAAATCTTACTCTTACTCAGTGGCTTGCTGTGTAGCTGGGTGGCTGGCCCCTGGAGTCCTCCTCCTTCTCTGGCTGCTTCCTCTTTTCCTCCCAGATTTCTCCTTCTATTTATCCTCTCTGCTTACCAGCCCCACCTATTTCTCTCTCCTGCCTCACTATTGGCCATTCAGCGCTTTATTAGATCATCAGGTGTTTTAGACAGGCACAGTAACACAGCTTCACAGAGTTAAACAAATGCCACATAAACAAAAGTAACACACCTTAAAATAATATTCTACAATACCTGGTCTCAAACAAATAATAATAAAAAATGAAAATATTAAAATAAAAATAAGGTGGAGAGCACCTGATCTAGTAAACAAGAATTTACACAATGCATTAGTACACTGTGTTAAAATACTGAAATTGCTATAGCAACATTACCATAACTAATCGAGCTGATCTAACTTCTTTGTCTAGGTTTCCAAGAATAAAGAACTTTTTCTCCTTCTTTCCAATTGGTAAAGACTAGCTAAATCCAATGTTTACTTAAAAAGAAAAGAAATGTAAAATCCAAACTGTAGCATGTCTATCATCTCCTCACTCTTCCAGTGCTGGACACTGCCCAGACCAAGGGCGTTGGCTACTCCTGGCTGGAATTACCAGTCATGTGAGACCAGAACTGTGACCAGAGCTGGAAGCGTACGTCTTGCAATGTTTAGAAACTCCATCAAATTTCATGGTTCATACCAAACTTGGCTCTTCTGATGTTCAAGTTCACTTGGTTTTGGAAAAATACATTTCATATTTAACAACAAAATATGGCCAAGGAAATCCTAGATTTTAAGCCTTTTGGCCTCTGCTGTTGCTGCGGGACACTGTCTCTCTGTGCATTAGCCACATACGGATGACATGTCCACAGAAATACAAAGAACTGGGAGTTCAAGGGAAAAGGTCTATGCACAGGATGCTTGGATCAACTGAGTTCTGATGTTTTAAAAAGGTACCACAAATTCCAAAGTGCTAGCCTGACAAAAATACTGTTAAGAAATCAACAGACTCTACTGAGCCTTTCTTTGCTTTTTTTTTTTTTTAAAGATGATGGTAACAATCATCAGTAGATGGTTAAGTGCCAGTTAGAGCTGTTTAGCCCCAAGAAGGGGCTTTATACTTGTAGATAATTAATAGATCTGCAAGAAATCACATGTTCAGACCTCAATACATTTTTGTTTTTTGTTTTTTTTTTTTGAGACAGGGTTTCTCTGTGTAGCTTTGCACCTTTCCTGGAACTCACTTGGTAGTCCAGGCTGGCCTCGAACTCACAGAGATCCGCCTGGCTCTGCCTCCCGAGTGCTGGGATTAAAGGCGTGCACCACCACCGCCCGGCCAGACCTCAATACATTTCATTTAAAAAAAAAAACTTTTTTTTTTTTTTATTTCTTTTGATACAGGGTCTCATGTAGCCCAGGCTAGCCTTGCACTCACTAAAAAGTCAAGTTGACCATGAACTCCTTCCTGCTCCTCCTGCTTTGACCTTTTGAATGCTAGGATGATAAACGTGCACCATCATGCTTGGCAAAAGAATCTGCAAATTTAGGTAGTCTCATAAAATAGCTAATAATAAAATTAAAGCAGAAATGAAATACAAGTAGAAACAAGACCTATGTATGGGCTGTTGATTTTTTTATTGGGCTGAAGCTCAAACCCAGGGCCTTCCATGCTAGACCTGCACAGCACTGTTATCTCAGTCCAGAAGCAAGGTTTTCAGAAGCAAGCAGAACAAAACAATCAGTTGTAACCTTTAAAAACCATTGCTGAACACTCACTGATAACCAGATTCAGGAAAGGCCTCAAAAATGTCATTCTGAAAACTGTTTTTGCCCCCTCTCTTCAGCTTAGAAACAAAAAAGGCAGTGAATGGCCCTTCTGTCCCCTTTCTGTGAGACTCTGCCAAGAGCACACTGTATCATGGACTTACTACGTGCAGGGCATTGGGCGTTTTACATATACTCTCATCTTTCTGCAGCCGAGCAGTAGTCTTCAAAGGGAGCTATGGTTGTACTTAGTACAGTGAAGGAACACACTTTATTAAGTTGGGATTCAAAGAAAGGGAGTGAAACCCAGTGATCATACCTGCCCCTCCATTCTCTTGACAACACTTCCTCCCCAATTAGGAACTAATTACCAAAGACCAAGGTTGCTATCTTCTACCTAAACATTAAATTTCTTGTTAAACTTGTCTTGCGCTTCAGCATTTGCAAGACCACTCTGGGAAATGAGCCGAAGAGGCCATGACACTTCCCTTGAAGATTTAAAAAAAAAAAATAGACCAAGTTAATGGAGCTATTAGCAACCTCCTCTGAACATACACTAAGTAAAAGAAACAAAGCAAAACCACATATAACCCGGGCCACACAGTGAGTTCCAGCTTGGGATACCCAATCAGACCCCTCTCAACACAACCAAATCCAACCAACCAACCAATCATGGTTGAGATGGTCTGAGAAGGCAATGATTTGCTAGCAAATTCCATTCAACAGGGCAGGCTAAGACCCACGCAGAGATGCCCCACTGAGAAGCGGACAGTACCTGTTCTGGGCATGGGCTTCCACCTGGTCTGTCACCTGTCCCAAGGACTCTTCCTCCTGCTTCTGACGCAGCCTTTCCTGCCGGGCTCGGCGGCGCCGTTCCCTGGCGGCCTCTTCTTCGTCATCATCATTCCTCTGATAGGCGATTCTGCAACACCATAAAGACACGTTCCTGAGCACGCCAGCTGACAAGTGTTGTCATTAATGTCCTGGCCCAACTGCCTTGAATGGCTACTAGTGAGCCAGGTTCTAAAAGTACGGTCCACATTCTCAAGTTTGGAAACCCAAGCCATTTGTTTTCCAACTTTTTAGTATTTGAAAAGCACTAGGCCAATGACTCAGGGAATGATTTACATTGATCCAGCAAACCAGAACATCTACACCAAAGCAGGCTGCCTTTGGAGGCTGTAGGTTAGCATATTTGGACTTCCATGCTGAGCTGATTATCACACGCAAGATTTAGAAGTGGAAAGAGCAAGTATTGAACCCAAATAATCAACACACGTATTAAAAAGGACTCAGGACATTGTGTGAACTAGAGGCGGCGCTATCACAAAGATTAGAAAAGAATCCAGTTACCGTTACTCTTAAACCAAGACTCCGCTGCTAATAAGCCAAGGTTGTTCCCTAAAACTGAGGACACTGAACCTCTTCTTTGGTCAGATTTTGTTATTCCAGGGTGTGTGTATCATTGACCATTGGTAGGTGGCTTCACAATATGTGCATTATGAGAGCATGTCAACCACCTTTTGTTCACTAAAACATGTATTAGTTCTTGCTTCATGAAAATGTCTTGTTCACTAAACCATGTATTACATCCCACCACCTGCATGCTGTGCTGTGTGTGCATGTGTGTTTGCATGTGTATATGTGTGCACATACACATGTGTGCACATGTCTGTGGAGGCCCTGAGGCTGATGTTAGGAATGTTTCTTGATTGCTTTCCACCTATTCGTTGAAGCAGGGCCTCTTGGTTGAACCAGAGTCTGCTGATGGCCAGCTAGCTAACTTGCTCCAGGTTGGAATTACAGGTGGGCCACCGTGTCCACCTGTACTTATGAAGGATCTGAACCTCGGTCCTCCTTATTCAGTGGGAGCTTTAACCCCTGAGCAATCTCCTCAACCCCAAAGCAAGAGATGTCCCTAAGTGGCACAAACTTTTAATTTGTACATAATTATAAAGATGAATTCATTTTCAAATGAAAGAAAACCAAACATCAGAACCGTATGTAAATAGTCTATCACATGTAACTGGTGGTAGATTGTTCATTTTAGATCTATAAACCAGGCATGTTTGGGCTTAGATCCAGTACTTCTATCTGTGTCCTCTTTTTACTTCAATAATACTAGGAGTGTTAAAACTTCTGAAGGTTTGTTTATTTGCTTTTTGTTACTTCAGAAAAAATTTGACTTTATGCTCACTAAAATCTGCTAGTGTGTCAAATGTCAATATAAATAAAGTATGTATATGTTCCATCTATATATCTGTTATATATTCTATTAAACTGGTAATTTTCCACAAATATGGAGGGAAGAGTAACATGGTAGAATTAACGTATGACTAATAGTCAGAAAACTTGGTTTTAAGACTGATCTCTTAGGAATACGGGGCCCTTTGATCAACCTGTCCTAAGTTTCCCTGTCCCTAAGAGTGGCAATCAATTAGAAATCATGGCTGTTAGGATAGAGTACGGTAAAGTGTGGCATCTTCTTGTTTGTTGTTAGTAGTGTTCAGCTAAGGAGCGGCCTTGTGAGCAAAGACGAGTTCGGTTTTAGACGCGTTGAGTGTGAAGGGACAACATGACGTGATACAAATGTTCTCTTCTAATTCAGGTATGATGCAGGAGAGAGCCCTTCCCAGTGGCTTGGCTTTCTGATTCTTGGCCTAATATTTCCTTGGCTTATTTCTTAGTAGCCCGCTTCAACCACAGTGGAGAGAAGAGTACTTAACAACTGCTTCTCAAGCTAATCAAAGAGGAATTTTTTATTTGGTCTCTCCATCTCGGGATCAGTCATGAAAGCACCGTCTGTTTTGAAGCCTTCTTCTGAGACAAGCAGGAGTCGTGAAAGGTACGTACAGGGCATCTCCATGCTAAAAGCAAAACTCTCCCTCTTACAAAGCCATCAGATTCAAGCCAGAGTTTTCCAGGATATTTGAGATGTCACTATCTTTCTCCTACCAACTCTGGGAGCTTCATGGGTGCTGACAGCATTTAGCTGGGAGATAAACTTGTTTTGTTTCCATGGCCAGGTCATGGCCAGCCTTCCATCCTCTTGTATTTCTCATTGGAGGAGTGGCCTGAGCAAATGTACCATCTCCACTGTCTCTTCTAATTCTTCCTGCTTATTGTAACTGAAGATCTGTGGGGAACCCACTCGCTGCTTATAGCCCTTCTTCTGGGACACAGTTACTGGAGATTGCTTGGGAATAATCTTTTACTGTTGCTAATAAAATGAGGAATTAAAGTTGTTTACCACATTAAAACAACAACAGAAGCACCGTCATGGTTTCAGGCTATTTTCAATCCTAACGGACCCAGTCTCTGGATGAAGAACGTATCAGTTCGGACAAGGCAGGTGGTACACAAGCATCTGCCACACAAGTGTAAGCCCTGGTGTTACAATCCTCAGCACCATGTAAATACTGAGACAGGGGAATGCCCAGAGCAAGCTAAATAGAATAGCTGGATCGGTGAGCTCTAAGTTCAACGGAGAGACCCTGCCTCAGTTTACAAGGTGGAGAGTGACTGAAGTAAACACTCGATATCAATCTGGTCTCCTTGTACACACAAACCTGTACACACACATGAGCACACATGCACACACACACACCCCACATACACATGAAGCCAAAAAGGAACATATCAGTTGACTTTATAAGTAAAACTGTGTGGATGACAAACTCCTCAACTGTGAGACTCCTACACTGGCCCTCAGACAGCCAAGTAATTTCTGTCTTCTAAAATCAGCCTGTCTTTTATACTTCCACCACTGATTTATTTCTTCTTTTCTTTTCTTTTTTTTTGGGGGGGGCAGTTTAGGGGTTCAGAGATAGTGTCTCTGACTGTCCTGGAACTCACTCTGTAGACCAGACTGGCCTCAAACTCAACACAGATCCAACTGCTTTCGATTCCCAAGTTCTGGGATTAAAGGTATGTGCTATAACACCCAGCTAGGATTTTTTTTCTTATTGAAAAAAAAAACAACCACCTTAGTGGTTTGCTCTTCTGATTCTGAAAGTAATGGATTCTTGTGTTTTAAAACTAGGCTATTACCTAATGTATAAAGATAAAAGTGAAAATCAGCTGCTTAGGATCATGTCAACTAAGCTCTGACGTGATGCAAATTTGATGTATTCTATACATATGTTCTTGAGTATGGAAATAATACATTTTTAATAAAGTGGGGCCATGTTATATCTATTATTTCATGAACAGTTCCTTTAATTAAACTTAGTCATGGCTATATTTTAACACATCAACAAACTACGTCAATGAAAACAGTATTTTATATCCACATACACCAGATGGTAATTATATAGATATACTATACCCTAATATTTTTCCTGCTGGTTATTAAATGTTTCTCTAACTTTATGCCCCTATAAGCAGTGGTACAAGGACTTCAAAACTTCTCAGAAGTTAGAAGTTCTGTGTTTATGAAGTTGAAGACACTTTCTTTTGAGGCTTTTGAAGCACTGATAAACTGGCCTCCAGAAAGTTAACATAATTACAATGATTTGTGGGTATGCCCACTTCACCATCACATAGAATTTGTCCAAAAAGACAGACAAGGATGCAGGATCCTTACTTCATCTGCAACAGCAGTAGCTCTGTTCTACATTAAAGACAGAGTGTTAGCAGCTCCGATTTTCCACACATCAGCCTTAACCTTGTTTGAAATGCTGCTGACTGAGAAAATTCCTATCTAACCAGATGGTCAGAGAGGCATACCAACCCGTTTTTACTTCCATGAAATTTCAGCAGATTCCAGTATTAACCAATCCACTGTGTCCACGGCACACAAGCAACCACCTTTCCCAGATTTGGGAGCCTTGTGGGATCCTGAGGTCCTCTGAACCAACTGAGAAGGACTCAACTACATTTTATACAGTTTTAATCAAATGCTTTTCATTGTGACTTTTAAAAAACTGGCAATCCCCAAGTCCACCAAGCAACACTCTATTAAATAAAACATCTGGGAGTCCATGAGCTCCTGAGCCATGCTGGCTGTGAGAGGGTTTACAATGGAGTGTTGTGCTTTGTTTCTTGGCAACTGCCTCTGCTCATCTCTCGTCACAAACACCTGGAGATTTGATGGACCTTTCCAGTGGAAGGTCAGTGTTGCTAAGAGCAAAATGACTCAGCAGATATTTGGGACAAAGGGAGGGAATCTACCACGTACTCGAATGTGATACTTACAAACTAGTGCAAACAATCCCCAAAGCTCACAATAATTACATGCTACTTGACATGTGTGTCCATAGCATGAAAAAGTAAAGGGCTGGTGTTTCTTCCATTCTCAGAACCATTGCTTAAAGGCCCTGCTGTCAGGGCCTTGATAAGAAAACTAAGATCTCCACGCCAGGAAAACTCTTTCATAACACCTGGCTGTTCCAAGAGTCTCTAACACCGGAACTCCGCTACCTCCGTATATGACCTTGTTAAATTCCGGGCTTTTCAGATGGAAAGGTTCAAACAAATAAAATCATTGCAAACACAATGAGCAGGGAAATCATGGAGGATTCAGCTTCTTTGTATTAGTCCATCAAGAACTAAATCTACACCAGAAAAGAGAAAGGGACCATAGAGCTGACTTCAGCAACACACTCTCTGTCTTTTGTTTCCTCCTTCCATAGTCACCATTGACTTTTGCTCACGACTTACACAACATGGAGGAAATTCTTATCACAGTATCTACAGGATAGTCTAGTTATAATGCTACACATTGTACTCCCAGGTACTTGGGAGGCTGAGGTGGTTTTATACAATCAAGTCCAGAAAACCAATTCAGATGTGGTCTTGAAATAAAAATTGAAGAAAAATGGCTAGGGATATAGCTCAGTGGTAGAGTGCTTAACCTAGCATATGTAAGGCTGTAGGTTTAACTCCCAGCACCACCACCACCAGTAGCAGCCCCACTAGCAC